CTGTGGGTTAGCGTTCACCGGGACGCCGATTGAAGCCGCAGTTGCTGCAGTCGCGCTGTTGATACTGATGGGAGTCTCGGTGGAGACGAGGAGCTGAGTCAGAAGCTCCTCATCTACTCGGCGACGCCAGGACTTGTTACCACTTTGCGCGATCTTTTTGGCCACTTCATCGACGCTTTCCCACTGGATACCGTACTTCCTCCATAGCAATGCACAGCGCAAGCACAGGGCCACAGTCAGTTGTGATCCCTTATCTTTTTGCTTCGATGCAGGCTCGCTCGAGGTAGTAGTGCCTGGCGCAGTACCTGGGGCGCGCCGCCACTGACGGGAGGTTCGCGTTGAGCAGAACTTGCACTGGAACCCACGCTTCTTTTCGACGGCTTTGTCGTTATCAAAAGCCGAGTCATCATGATCGTCGGCCACATCGTCCACTAGCTTCGCCGCACTGCTTCGCTTCGCTTCCTTCTTGCCCCGTCTGCCTTCATAAGCGCCCCAAATTTGACGGCCACGCGGCGTTTTCTTCCACATGTAGTAGAACCTCACAATCTGGTAGTGAGGCACAGTACCCACGTACTTAGTAATATTCCGCCACTCCGACCCAAACTTGGAAACTGCCTGTTCGAAGAGTTTCAGTTCTTCTGGGCGTAGATGCGGCTCTTTGAGATCCTTGTACTTGTTCATCGTCTTCAACTTTGCCAGGGCCGCGTCGGCATTGAAGCTATTAGAGTAAAGGAGTTCGAGAGCCTTGTCGAGGAAATTAGTAGCGTATTTCTCTTCCCCAAGTTGGGGAGCCAACGCCTTGGCGCGTTCCATGTAATCGTCCACGAACTTTTCCCGCTCGGAGGGGCTGAGATGGGAACCAGGCGCGTCGTCTTCGCCCCGAGAGGATGGAACCTGGTCTGCAGTGGGCATCTTAAACATTGGCTCTGCAGTGCGGACTTGCTTCCCGCCCACAGTGACCGGTTCGTCTTCGCCGCGCCGCACGTACCCTAGGGGCTCGTCCATGACCCACTTCGGTCGGTTGGCCTTTTCCTGTTTGGCGGCTTCGATGGCGGCCACAGTTTCCTTGGAAAGCTTCGAATCTTTGCGACCTCCGGAACCTCGCATATACTTTTTCTTGATGTCGATAGGCTTGACATACTCCACCGGCTTTCCAGGCCAGGCATTCACCATGGCCTGATGCCGAGGACCCAACCGCGAGCTGGCGCGCGGGTAAATGCGGTCATCATAATCGAGGGCGTCTTCGACACGGCAGTGAATTCCCAAATAGCGATAGGGCCACATTCTGGCTTGCGCAACCTGTTCTTCTGTAGCCGGACGCACCTCTTCTTCCACGGGTGCTGGAGTGCTGCTTGTGGTGCCATTCGTCGCGCCATGGGGTTCTTCCTCCTCCTCTTCGACCATCTCCTCATCAGCTTCCGGCTGATTCTCACCCAATATCGGGGTATTCCGTGCCTCGAGCTTTCGTTCTTGAGCGCGACTGCACGCTGCGCAAGCCCAAGCAAAGCCACGGGCCGGCTTCTTCGTCAGTACCGGTCGAACACAGTACATATGATAAGTGCTGTGACAGACGGCACAATCCACCGAGTCATTGCTATTCCAACGTTAGTATGATTGAATCAGCCCATCATAAGAGTATGGATCGGCATACCTTGCGGCGTACAGGCTACAGCGCTTGCAGGTCTTCACGGCGCTGGTGAGCTCCTTTCGTCGTCCGATCTCGACCAGAACGAACTTCCAGCGCTCGTCCAAAACCTTTTTGACGTTTCCCGGGACGTTGATGACCTTGCTAGTTGGGATTACGTCGTAGTAGCGGTGGATGTATCGGTCAAACATCTTGTCGTACCAGAAACAATCCCGGGTCTTGCGGTACGTGTCGATGTCGGTGATCTCCGACAGGTGCTGGATCTGGCATTTTCCGCGTAGGGATGTGAGAGGACATGTGTCGGAGTGCATGGAGGCAAAGACCAAACGCGTGTCGGCGACCTTGCGCTGGATGTCACGTGGGCGATAATACCAATTCACCCGCAGTGCCTCGATCGGGCCGGAGGGCGCATCTTTGGAGGGGAGAAATTCCATGATCCGTGCCAGATAGTACGGTTCCCCCGGCGGTTCACAGATCAGGTAGACGTGGTCTAGATGAGAATACTCAGTATAATTTTATGCCACAGCAGCAATGTTATCAAGTAAAAACATAATAGAAAAATAGAGAAAAATCAAGGAGGTGAATCTCACCATTGACGGCGTAGGTTGTGCCGTCATCGGCTCTGAGTTTGCCATCTTTTAGATAGGCACCGCGGCTTTCGAAACTGACCATGTTGGTTTCGGCCGGGTTGTACGCTAGTCCTGGGGCCGTCGTAAAGATCTTCTTGGCTGCATTCCCACTCGCAGCATTAGAGGTGGTGGAACTTGCCGGCTGTTTCCGTTTCCTGGACGAAGAGTTGGCTGAGGTCGGTGCCGCCCCCTCCTCGAACTTGGCGGAAAATGAAGAAGTGCCAGGAATCAAGTCTTTGGCAGCAGCCGCGCCATTGGCACCATTGACCGCCGTTAGACTCTTCCGCGATGTTGCCGACGAGACGGGCTCCTCACTGTCGGCTTTGACGCCATTGACGAAGCTGCCGGAAACACCGCTACTCCGTTTGGCGGATTTGGAAACTGGTTGGGCGATCTCCAGGTCGACGTCGATGTCGCGATCTTCCGCATAATTGGGGCGGGGAGCGGCATTGCGACCTCTGGAGCGAGTCCCATACGGCGCCGGGGTGGTCGACGCGCTGGGAGGTTCCGTCGCGGTGACGTCTGAAGCAGACGCGCTGACAGCCATGGGTTGAGATGTGAGGTCGTTGCCGGTGGCGGCACTTTGGGGTGTGGGCGCCTCTACCGACCCCGTTCGGGAAGCCTGGCCAGGGGTGGGCATTCGACGGGATGTGCCAGATGGCGACGATGAGTTGGGTTTCCCGGGATTAAGAGGGGCCTTTTGGGATGGTGACCTGTCCGGGGCCATGGCCAACCCTTTAGTGGAATTCCCAAAATAGCCTCAAGTAAGAGGAGATGTATAATACCAAGAGAAAAGGGTAGTGTTGTTGGGGGGAAGTAAGAGAAAAAGAAGTGGGCGATGCACCTCCGGCGTGGTTGGTTGGCGTTTGAATGTCCACAGGATAGAAAGAGTAAAGGGAACACCAAACTGGATGGGGACGACGCGGAGATGCAAAGCTCAGCAACGGGCCGGGACGGAGAGTCGATCCCTCATGAGATGGGGAACTCTGCAGCCGGGTGGAAGGGAGAGAGAAAGAGAACAAAAAGGAACACGAAAAAAAAAAGAGAAGAGGAAAAAGGGAAAATGGATCAGGCCTCGCACTGCAAATATTTGCCCGAAGCAACTGGGGAACCGTCAATCAATGGTACCCGCCAAAACCCAGAAAGCGTAATGTAATGGAGAAGTGGCAGCAGCTTTGCTTGTCGGGACCGATTCACTTTAGTTTCTCCCGCAAGGGCGCCGAAAGGGTCAAGATTGGTGGGTGTTTGAAAGGGCAAAAATTGGAAAACGCCCACAGGGTGCGGAATATCAAGATCGACAGGCTTCCGGAAAGTGATAAGAACAACACCAACCCGAACGGGGCGGAAGGATTACAGAGGAACAACAAGAAGAAGCAGGAAGAAAGCAGACCGGCGGGGAGGAGAGGCTACCGAACTGCATGAACGATGAGGCGAAAAGGAGAAGAGGGAAGAGAGAAAGAATGTAGGAGGGAGAAGGGAAAAGAGACAAGAGACGAGGGTGGAAGAGGAAGAGGAAGAGAGAAAGGGAAAAGCAAGTGAAAGTGAGAGAGAGAGAGAGAGAGAAGTGAGTGAGGGAAGAAAGAAAGAAGGGAAAGGGTCGCTGGAAACGTCGGAGTAGTAAAATGAAGGTTAGCGGCGGTGGAAGCCAAACAAGCAGTAGAGCCACTTAGGGCGTTGGGAGACTCGTGGGGTGAGCACAGGATAAGATCAGTACTTGCACCACCAGCCAGTCAGATCTCTCCAGTCGGCGGAGGTGGCAGAAAAGTACGACCACAGGAAGTTATGGGAATCAGTCAGTCCGTAATGTGTTGTAGGGGCAGGCAGGTAGCGAAGCTAGATACAAGAGCCGTCGTTTAATCGGCACTAGTAGGGACCTGATTGATTGATTGATGGAGGATGATGTATGCTGGACCGGGACTACCCAAGCATGGAAGTAAAGCACAAATCCATACACATGGGATGGGGGATGACGTTGTAATGAGAGAGGATTGTAGGAGTGATAGAGAAGCAGTTGTGTCTTTAAAGCGTAGTTTGATCGGAAGGGGGAGGGGTGATAGATAGATAGTTTGGAGGGATTGGGAGGGAAGAAAGGGAAGAGGGAAGAGGAAGAAGAAGGATGGATGGATGGGTGTGAATGTCGGAGAGAGACAGAGAGAAAGAGAGGGGAGGCGAAGATAGCAGCCAGCAGCAATAGTAACCAAACTGGCAGTTCTTTCGTGACCCGGAAGGAAACGCGAGTCAAAAGTCAGAAAGGGAAAAGGACAGGCAAATGGAAATGCAACAGCAGCAAGTAGTAGTAGGAGTGGAAGAGGAAGAAAGCGAGAGAGCGAGAGAGCGCGCGCGAGAGACAGAGACCAGAAAGAATCAGGAAAGCCGTCGAGGATCCCGACCAGTCCACGTCCTCGCCCCTAGTCCCGATGTGTTAATATGACGGATCCTCCATCCACTCCCATGAACCAGATGAATAGTTGCTTTCGCTTCCTCCCTCTCGCTTTTCCTCTCTGGCGCATAACCTGCTCTATCGGCTCTTCGTCCTATCTGCACATCCCCATCCCGGCCATTTCTACTCATGCTGGCTCCAACCGGTCTTGATACCTAGCTCGGACAGTACCCAGGTTTCCCTCCCTTCGCTCGCTTTACTTTTTGCCTCCCACTCTTTCCAGAAAATATCTATAAGTTTGACCTACTCCAACAGTCTACAATGGATGTATTATGTGGGATGCATGGTTGTCTGGATGTATGTATGAATGGATATCCGTGTCTGGGCTTCGGGATTTATTTTTATAGCACCTTGCTCCCCTTGCTCGTCCAGGCGGCGGCGTGTTTGACCCGTTGGGTGATCTACGTCGGGACGCTGGGTTTTTAGTGGATTCACTTTCGTACTAGTAAAAGATCTCTCCCTCGGATATTAGTCGCTGGCCCTTGGGAGGGGGGAAGAGAGAGAAAGGGATTGTGTGGGCCGAAAGACCCGAATGCGAAAGAATGATGATGATATCGGGAGAGAGGGGCCATGGCGATTGAAGAACGGGGGGAGAAAAGAAAGAGAGGGAGAGGGTAATGGGAATGGAAGGGAAGGGGAATGGGGAAGGGACCTGGAAACCTAAAATTAAGCAGCAGGGGAAAAATGGAAGTAAAAAGGAAAAAGGGTAAAATTGAAAAGAAAAATAAAAATAATCAAGAGCAAGAGGAGATGGGACGGACAAAGGGGAGAAGGGCAACGGGGGGGAGAGAACCGAAGGAAAATGATCAAGAGAAATGATAATAATAATCATAATAATAAGAATAACAATAATGATAGAGACGGGTCAAACGATCTTTGCATTCATTCATATTTCACTCATCCGCATATCCAGTCATGCAGTCATTCATTTTCATTCATTCATTCATTATTATGCTCTGGATCTATGCATGTCCTTCTCCTTCCCTCCATTATTACTTACATTTGGGCAGTCAATACACAGTTAAAGTAAGATGGATAGCATGGGAAAAAGACACTGCAGGTAGGAGATGAGGCGTGGCCAGGAGAACCAGCGAGAGGGCATGTCGAATCTGTGGCAGGAATGTTGTCACGTAGGGCAGCGCATGCGCGTTGGATCTGAAATCCAGAGCGCCAAGTCCTTGTGCAGTGAGTGTCGAGTGGACAGATGGACCCATCCATGCCATCGAAGCGCAGCGGATATCGTCTGTTTCAGTCTAGGACAACGGAAACGGCGTCAGCATCGTAACCAGGAGCAGGGTCGGCTGGACAAGAAAAGAAAAGAATCAAGGTTCTTCTTCTCGCAGTTCTTTCCCCCCCTTTCCTTTTTTTTTTATTCCTTCTATGCATATGGAGAACGATTATCTTTGAACCATGTCATGTATGATCTCGAGCTGGAAAGTGGGCGGGGGATTGTTGGAGAGTAAAGGCATGGTATGGGAGGTAGTTCGTGGCAGTGATACCGCATTGTTACGGGGTGGTTCTGGAACTACGTACTAATCAGGGCCTCCTATTTGCAGAACACCCAACCCCCTCCTCCAAAGTTAGTGAATCACTCCGTGGAGTTGTATAGAAAAAATATGATACCAACAATAAACATCGGAAATGGAATCGCGTGAACTTGAATGAATTCTTTGTCTAAAACAGATTAGTTGCTGTAAATATAGCGGCTGATGTATGGTGTTAGTGGCAGCAGCAGCAGCAGCATCATGTATGAAATCTCGTAGGCGGAGAGCATTTAATACATCAGCAGCAGAGGCGACTCGACGGTAATTAGCAAGCAGGTGGCCAGCCAGAAGGCGATCGAGGTTAAAACATGGTACTACCGGACTCGCCTTTTTCACCGTCTTTGAGTTTGGACCGACGGTCCATGCTGAGAGAGATTTTCCCGGGGGTGGTTTCTTACTGACTGACCTAAGGGAAGGGGAGGGGCAAGTTGGCGCAAAGAAGTGGTCCTGTACGACCGGAGACTGGAGGCATGGATACGTGCTGGAAATGCTAAGCCATTTTAGCTTAGGCGGACAACCGAAAACTCGGTTCAGCGACAAGACAGAAAAGGGTGAGGGAGGGAGGGTGCCAGTTCCATGGCTCCCTTCGACCTGCAATGCTAATTGACTAGTGGTGATTAGCAGCGACACAAAGTCGATCCTCAGGCAGGCCCGGGGCCTTCTTATGTGAACCTACCCACTCTCGGCCACTGAACTGACGGCCCATCTCTCCGGTGCGGAAATTTACTCCTATCACTTTCGTGTGATCCTAGCCTGCGAGGCCAGTCTTGCCGGGACAAGCCGTTCAAGAACGCGCGGGAGAGGGGGAAATGATATCCAGATGACGGCGGTTGTCACTGTGCTGCAAAAGAAGCAGAAGTGGGCGCATGTGGTCCAGCTGCGGCGATGAGGTGATGATAACAGTAATCCGTCCACCAGAGCGGGAACTTGGCCCAACCCTTAGCGCCTGGTCTAGGGTATAATAATAATAATAATACCACTTCAACTCGCCTTTCCTAATCCTAGCAAGCCAACAACTCCTTAAAGTAGTAAGGTACTTACTCCTTATCTCATGGTTCACTATGGATCTCCCCCGCGACGGCGGATCGTTTGGGTGCGAGGATTATTTTTTCTTTTCGATTGTCTTGGCTCATCCGAAGGGACGTTCCGGCCGGATGGCAGCAGGTTAGGTAGATATTTCGGATGATGACCAGTGCTCCGGGGAATTCTGTCCCAATCATCTGGATGTCCCCAAGTGCCTGGAGGAATGATAATCACTATTCCCGTACTTTACGAGGTCGATCAATTTGAAGCCGGCCTAAGTTACATCATTACCATCACCCCGATAAGCCCAGCAGGAAGGCATCCCAGGTCTCCGGGCGACCAACGGACCTTGGAAACTCCTGGGATCAGAAACCGCCAGTCAACCTGGTCCAATGAGACTGCGACTTGGGTTGCCGCGCTGGACGTCCTGATTCTGTTGCCACATTACAGCCTTCAGCAAGGCTGGCACTTACCCTTCCTTTAACCCAAGCAACATGGAAATGGTTTGCACCCCGCATCTGAGAGGTGGCCATAAAGTGGTTTCCGTACCAAGTATTGATGGTATCTTCAGATAGGACCTGGTATTCGAATAGCAAGCAATAACTAGGTACGGTGGATGGTCTAGTGGCTTGGAGATGATAGTCTTTCCCCGTCAAAGGTAGATTGACCGGGGTTGGTCGGCTCTGGTGTTTCAAATGCCAAAACCGACAGCTACTACAGTGTAGTACCAAGCCGGACGCACCATCCTGTCACGACTCGCTCACGTCTTACTAGATTCGATAAAATAGTTGTCGATTCCTGGGGGGCTAATTTAAATCGCAGTCGATCCTTGAACCAGAGACATTGGGGATTTACAGTTTGAAGGTCCCAGTGATCTAATTCCTCATGATCATCATCTGATGACCGGAAACACAACCCCCAATTATAATGCTCGGCTGCCTCTACTTAACCCAACCGACCGTCCAAAACGTGTAAGGTGTAGACGCGGCAAAGTGACTCGATCGTCCGATGCTAAAGAGCGCGCTACTGTGATGGGGACGGTATGAAGGAGTCTGGCACCTCGGAACTGACTAGTGCCTGCAGAGGGCCCTAGGAAGGAACGAACTAATGTGTTACGATGTACACATGAACAACAAGATCAAGTTCAACTCAGGTAAGCCCCCGTGGACTTAATATGTGATAGCTGAGTTATTGCGCTGTATTCTTCAAATAAGAGCACTGCAAATTGCTCAAAACAAAATTCGTAAAGGTGTGAGGAAGAACCACCCGCCTAATTGTCATGAATAATGATGATACGGTGTACGGGGAATGTAAGTCTGATCAAGTCTGCTCAAGCGTGAGTGGCCACATGTGGGTGGATCACTTGGGGGGTGTGGGCTTCTTCCCTCTTTGCTCTTTTTTTCCCTCGTTTCTTTTCCTTTTTTCACCCTTCCTTTTCTTTTTCGGGCCCATAGCCCTCCGGTTCAATAATGCTGAAGAAGAATGGCACTTTGGCCCGAGGTATCCGTCTATCTGGGACACTCTGGCCACTTCAGCGTAAACGACCATGTACAGTGTAGATAGAACTGAGCCGGAGCATTCCCAGGATAAAACTTGTGCTGTTAAGTTGATGTCCACAGCAATTCACTAATATACATGGCATGGTAGGTTCACGGGAATGATGACTGTACACAAGAGGCTCGCAACGCGGGATGTGAGGAGAGGGCGCACATGAACCAACCCATGAAGGGGCGTGTCAATAATGAGAAAAGAAAAAAAAAAAAAGTAATACTCGGTAAACCAGACTCGTGTTGCGCAGGTCCGCATTTTAGCACTCCGTATGGAGTCGGAGGCTGCCTGGCCTTACCTTAGTTCTTCCGTAGCCAAAAGGCTGTTGTGATCCTAATCGTCAGGTGACCCCAGGCAGCCAGCCCGCACGAGACAATCGTGCTGCTCAGAGAGAAATATTGTCATATTAATGCGGTAAGTTCCATAGTGAAAGTTTGTTTCTTGGAGGCAGGTTTGATGCAGTTCCCACTCTCCCAGAAGGAGTATCCCGATGCTTGTCGGAAGGTATGTATGAAAGAGGGGGGTGAACATGAAGTTCAACTAGCGATCAATAATAAATGTTGGGTTCTGATAGCCGGGCTTCTTCTCCGGCCACCCTTGCTTACTCACCTACCTTTAGTCTGCAGAGTGCGCGGGACAAGAAGGAATAGCGTGGCAGCTGGATTCTTTCTAACGTCTGTGCCCCCCAACTGGGTCGCAGGCTGGAATTGCCCGGGTTAGTGAACACTGGACACCTACTTACTGACTGATCGAAATTCGTGGTGATCAATGTGATCGCCGTTGTCTTCAATTCATATTGCTGCTTCTGATTTTTTGGCTGCCGGACTCGTTACTTCAGTTCCCTCGCTCGTACGGGGAGGAATTATCATATCCGGGGACGCTGCTAGGCACCATATGGCCAGTGCCACTTGCCCACGGAAGATGCATGCCGCTATTGACTAGCACACGACCAACCTCCGTTGGGTAAGTCATTCCTTTCGACTGGCGGATCAGCAGGGCTCCGATTAGCGGGTGAGCCGATCCAGGAACGTTTCCGCACGGGAACAGAAAAATAAAAAAGCCCATCACACCTACTACTATCAATAATAATTGTCACTATGATATTATCATTGGGTTATCATATCTGGAGTATGAAATTTATGCTATTTATTCATTGCTCATTTCACAGCAGAATAACTCGGGCCTATCAGGCTTTGCAGGATGTAGTATGTAATGTACGTAAGTACCACCTAGCGGCCTTAGGCTCGCCGAGAAGGCAGATCGGGGGTGTGGTGCCTGAGGCCGATGGGTCACCCACATCTTTACTTAGTTACTGGATGGGATGCAGTTTCCCGAAACGAGCGCGTTGCACCCGCGTTCCTGCCAGAACCATCACCACCACAAACAGGTCTCGCCAAGGTTCTGGCATGGTTGCTGCCATCATCACCATCATCAGTATTATCATATCTGGTCTGGCTGAGTATTTAACACGTTTGGATATCTATTCCTCTCATTTCTGTTGTGTTTCGTTTATATCAAGCTAGTTCTTGTCCCACCGGGATTAGCCATCCTTCCAATGTTGCCTGGGCACTCTCCGACTATATTATACGTTCCATGAATCTCATTGCGTATGGGAGCCCCACGAGAGCCGCCATAGCTGTACACAGGTCTAAACGTCAACCCAGGTATGTCTGCACCACCTGGGCAGCCATTTCAGACCTATGGCTTTCAGACATCCGTCGATATTGCCCGCCAGCGGACGTTCGAGGTAGTCCCATTGGCTGGAAACAAGCGACCCCCGGACCCTACTGCAGATGATGATCACAGGCCAGTGGGAGTCAGACATCCTACGACTGTTTCTAGTGCGGTTGGCCGGTCGGTAGATTTTATCCGCCCCTCGTTCATCCTTCCCAAGGCCCGTCTGGTCGCCAGTGACATCTATCCGGTTGCTGAGACGCCGCCGGCGTGTCGTGGTCAACAGCTGAATGTGTTCCCTACCGACCAGGATCCGGCACACAATCCTTATTTGTCCTTGAATCACCCCACGTATGGCTTGCCTCCAGGACTGGTGGCTAACTTTGCCGCAGCTGGGCTTCGCAGTATCTACCAGTGGCAAGCGTCATGCCTTCTAGCGCCAGGCCTCCTCAAGGGCGACCGACATTTAGTCTACACAGCCCCCACGGGCGGGGGGAAGTCTCTCGTCGCCGATGTTTTGATGCTTAAGCGTATCATTGAGAACCCCGGACGCAAGGCTATCCTTGTCCTTCCCTATGTTGCCTTGGTACAAGAAAAGCTCAAGTGGCTCAGACGCATCGTACAGGATGTCGAGAAAATCACCCATGATGCTGATGACCAAGTAGCCAATGAAAAACCGTACCACAACCGGTGGAACAAACTCCAGCGATCAATCCGTGTCACTGGGTACTATGGTGGAAGCAGGACTGCTGCATCCTGGGCAGACACGGACATAGCTGTCTGCACAATTGAGAAGGTGCATTATCTCTTTGTCCTCGAGGTCACGAATCATCTCTGATAGTTGTCACATAGGCGAACTCTTTAATCAATTCCGCCATTGAAGAATGCAGCATTGGCGACTTGGGTGTAGTCGTTTTGGACGAGCTACATATGCTGGATGATGAACATCGCGGGTATCTGTTAGAACTCATGGTCACCAAACTACTCCTCTTGCGACAGAAGACCCAAATCATTGGCATGAGTGCCACCCTATCGGTATGATTTTAGACTAGGTTCGCAAGCCTTAAGGCTATCTTTCTGACGAGTCCAAGAACACAGAAATGCTTGCTGAGTGGATGAATGCCGCTTACTTTGTGTCGACATACCGACCAATCCCGATTGATGATTACCTGGTTTATGAGAATGCAATCTATCCCGCAGCAACCTCGAGGCAGCTTTTCCAAACGATCTCTAAGCTAAAGTCGATGTCCAACGCAACTCTCATGGAATGCATGCCTCCAGATCGTGTTATTCGCCCCTCAACCTTCCGCGAGCTTGCAAATCCCATGACGAATTCGACTGTAGCTCTGGCAATCGACACAGCCGACGCCGGGCATGGCGCCTTGGTGTTCTGCGGTAGTCGGCATATGTGCCAGATCCAAGCAGCTGTTATAAGCGAAGCAATGCCAGCACCTGCGGAGAACACAGATGAACTCAGCAAGCGTTTAGATTTGCTTGCTGATCTACGCAGCCTGCCTAGCGGCTTGGACCCGGTTCTCGAAAAGACGCTCGTGAGAGGAGTAGGGTTCCACCGTAAGTACCGTTCGCATCGATTCCACGCATATGCTAAGCTATCGTATAGATGCAGGAATGACAGCAGAGGAGCGCGAACTGATAGCGCAGGCATACGACCAAGGTGTCTTGCGTATACTCATAGCGACCTGCAGTCTTGCGGCTGGAGTCAATCTCCCTGTACGGAGGGTTATTATCAATGGAGCACGCATGGGCAGGGAACTTGTAGGGCCCGCAATGCTGTAAGGTGCCTTTGTAGTGAACATAGTGTGCTATCGGCTAATATTCGCGAAGGCGACAGATGTGTGGAAGAGCTGGCCGCAAAGGGAAAGATGAGGCAGGTGAGACATACCTGATATGTGGAGATAGCGACCTACAAGCGGTCTGCGACCTCTTAGAAGCAGAAATGCCCGCCATCGAAAGTTGCCTAGCCCCGGAGAAGAGGGGACTCAAGAGGTGAGTTCTCAACTCCTTTTTTCTGAGAAATGGATAGCTCACCTCCTACAAGGGCACTATTGGAAGCTATTGCGACCGGGCTTGTCTCCGGTCACGATGCTATCAAGGAATACGTTAGATGTACCCTTCTGTACCTGACGGTGGACAAAAGGGTAGCTTACGGTATCATGGGTTCCGCGCTGCAAGAACTAGCCACCGAGGGGCTTGTACAGTTGAACGACGACGAATCGTACTCATCAACACAACTTGGCCAAGCGGTAGTGGCTTCGGCGTTTGCGCCCGAAGATGGTCTCTTTGTTTACGAGGAATTGAGAAGAGCGTTGCAAGCATTCGTTATGGATGGCGATATGCACATCTTCTACTTGTTCACGCCCCTGCAAGCAGCCATGGCCACCCCGATCGATTGGCTTATCTTTCGCGATCAGTTGGACAGCCTCGATGAGAGTGGGCTACGCGCATTGCAGTTCGTTGGTGTCAGTCCAGGTTTCGTGAATACGATGTATTTTGCCTCACAACCCCTTTGATCGTTCATGAAGGCGCTAACGGTTTCGCAGGGCGCAAAGTGGGGCATCGCTCAAGGAGAACACGCCAGAACAGATTAACCAGGCCAGAATCTATCGCAGAGCGTACACGGCCTTTCAACTTCGGGACTTGAGTAATGAAGTGCCATTGTCGGCAGTAGCCAATCGCTATCGAATTCCGCGCGGAGCAGTCCAAACCTTGGCACAACAATGTCATGGCTTTGCTGCGGGTATAGTGAAATTTTGCCAGCGAATGAACTGGGGCATGCTTGCGGCAGTCCTGGATCATATGCGAGATCGTCTGGAGGCTGGGGCGCGCGCTGATCTGCTGGAAATGGCTCAGGTTACCTTCGTGAAGGGATGGACGGCCAGGTTACTCCGAGAAAATGGTTTCCGCAATCTAAGAGCATTGGCAGAGGCTGATGCAAAGGACCTTGTCCCTATACTTATGATGGTATGACAGGCTTTGATAGCAGAGTGTAATGAGGCTGTGCTAATCAAAATGACAGGTAAACCCGCGGAAGACCCAGAAAAACCAGCTGCACCCGGCGGAGGCCGAGCGTTATGCGAAGAAGTTGCTTGCTAAGGCAGAAGTCATTATTGCGTCGGCCAACAGGATTTGGGGTACGTATGGAAGATTCTGCTACCTGCTACTGTTCCAGCCCGGCATTTCTAACCTAGATATCCCAAAATTATAACAGAACGCGAGATGCAGATTGAATTAGACGAGTGAACAATTTCGAAGTGTCTTGGAAGTTAAAGTGGGGCGATTTGGCGCTCTCTGCTCGACATCTTGGACTAAAGGACTTCGTCTAAACGATAGATCTATACGTTCCCTGGCAGTGTGAGGTCTGGTCTCATTTGGACTTTACAGATGAGCAGGACGGCAGATTCATTATAACCCGAATGGTAAGATACTTGATAGAACACTGCTAGATTTACATAGCATGCCAATGAGGTTGGTAAATCCAGAGTCACGCTGCTCGGAAGGATGACAATAAGCGTTCTAGATACCATTCAGTTGATTCTGAGCCGCAATCGGCTCACCCAAATCGACAAAATCCAGGAGGATGAAGTTGGGCAAGCGGCTGTATATGGAGTAGCACAGATCTGCCTGGGCTCCAATGCTCCCAGACCCCGACACCGCGTTGGTGTCGGATGCATGGTCCTTATCGGGAATGAGAATCCCCAAGATGTCGACATCCAAAAAATGATTGACAATATACATCCGTCCAGAGGCCGACGCACCAGCGGGTCGGTCAATGCTGCAGTCGGGAAAGGTCGCATTCGTCACGTCATAAGGGGTCTCGAAGAAGTACGCAAACTCGTCGAGGATGTATGGAACGGTCGAAGTATCGGCGCCATAATCTGGAAATCTGGTCAACCAAGCCTCTCAGGACGCGCCTGCCTGGCTACTGCTTACCAAGAAAAGACACCAACCGCGTGCCATTTCCGATCAGTTCTCGTAGGGTCGGCCATTCATCCATGGCCAAAGTGTTTGGAGACGAACTCGGCACGAATGCATAGTCTGAAATACCGGAGCTGTTGAAGACATCGCCGAACTGTGAGACCGATAAACTATCACCGTTCGTAAGAAGGAGGGTCACCACCTCATCCGGGTTGCTGTCCATCCAGGTTCTGATTGTAGTTAAGAATGATTCTAGGCTGCCCGCGTCCTCCAGCAGGCACGACGTGTGGCAAAGGAGGATGGTATCGTCCAGTGCAGACTTGTGGGTCTGGCCCTGGAGGAAGCGGATTCCCAGGTCCAGCTGCTGGGTGACACTGAGATCTTGGTTATCGGAGAGCAGCGATCCAACGAAGGGGCTGTCGTGGGCGCCGACCTGGGTAACATTGGAATAGCGGCGATCACAGTAGTCAGCCTGGCCGTTGCAGGTAGACTGCGCGACGGTTGGCACAATGGATGCTATGCCCACCGCTAGGCCGAAGAGGATGGGTGGGGGAAATATCATCATACAAGAGCGTTTCAGGTCTTTCAGACGCAGTTATTGCTGTGTTCGACAGGGGCGCTGCCATAACAGGCAGGGAGGACGCCGATGAATGAGGAATGCGCCGGCTTTATTTATACCCCGGCCCTTGTTGTACGATGTCCACCCAATATCCCATCCTCTGCTAAAGTGACCGCGCCAACCATGGCTGATGAATTCAGTAGTGGCTTGTTGGAGCCATTTGCCAGCTTGTGACCTGCACGGGTGATGATGAGGGATAGTGTGATAACCCCAACCCGCACACCAACCGACAGGGCAATCACGGTTAAGCATCATGATAGGACCGGCGGGAGAGCAGTCAATAGTCAATATTTCTCTACGCTCTAAGCCCATGAGCTAACTTCCCGAGCGCAGAACTAGTGAATGCTGACCATGCTACTTGCAATCCAATCAAGCGGGGGGGTTGTAAAGGAGACAACGACTGGTTGGTTCGGAGCCAGGCGGTTGAATATATTGGCAGATCCTTAGCCTGGCCTTCGGGGGCGCTAACTGTAAGTTGCTGGATGGGAGTAATTGCTGACTGTTGGAAACATGATGGGATATGTATGACCATTCTCCCTGTATTCCCTCAGAAAGACCTGATGAGGGGAAATTAGAGAGGAACTGTTGTCACATGAAACCCGTCACCATGCAGGTCAGAAGCTTGACAGCGATGCACCGTGTTGGTTCATGATGGGACGTAAGGGGGAAAGGATATCCCCGTGATTCTCACCATCTCATGTTGTTTCCTTCGTGATAGGTGTTTCTGGTGCTGAACTAACTCAGAGAGGAGAGTTCCCTCGTATGGGGGTGGTAGATGCCTAAGGCATGGACAAGGGTCCCCCATGTTTACCTCGGCTTTGCAACACTTGAATCTTCAGCCACAGAGTCGATCCCAGCGATAAATGCGCGGAATATTAAGTATTGGGAACTGGGAGGATGTGACGTCTCCGATGAAGTGATGAATTGGATGTCTCTTCCGACCGAAACCGTCCACGTGGTATAGGCATCAATCGTGTGAGATAATGTTTTGCTGTCCACACACGCAGGAAGAGATATATCTAGGTCTTGTAGAACTTGTTAGGTAAACCGAATATCAAGATGTAAGGAACAAGAAACGAAATGTACTGTATCTGTCCAAGTCCATTGTTGATCTGTACTTTTATCGAGACAATGGCCATTCATGCTTCCCAGGCACCCAGGCATCCATGGTCAACTTCTTTCTCCCCCTTTCCGGATTAGGACTAGATCGCGTAACGGTAACCGTACCAAGATACCCCGACACCAACTCCTCCTCCTTCGCCGGTGGGTATCTCCGGTATCTCTGCCTGGTCTCTGCCTGGTCTCTGCCTGGCCGGGTCCTTCTCCATTGCGTCCTCCAGTCGAGTCCAGTTCAACCCAAGCTCGTCGCAGCCTCTACTCCTTCCCCCAGATCATTCCTCACCCCACACGGCATCATAGTTATCTTACCCTGAAAAGCTCGTGCGTCTCCTCGCCGTGCTCTCTCCCCGTGTCTGCCGCCGCCCTGAACCTGACATCCAGCCCCCCCGTTGATCCCGGCCAGCCTCCACTTTTATTGCCCCGTTCGAGCTTCGTGACATCGAGTGTTGAGACCACCGGCGCCTCACCGTACAGCTTCCATTCAACATCCCCTTGCAATCATTGTTACTCTTAGACAAGACAGTTGGAGCGATGGTCATTCGAACATCCCGCCGATGAGCTCCATGATCGAGACCAGTAATGACTGGGCACGAGAGGATGAGCTCGACTTGGGCCAGGAAGACGATGAACACTCCCCGCCCGCCCACAACGGCGTCTCCGATCATGCCAACGCTCAGCAACCACCGGAACATGGCTCAATGGCTTACTTCGAGGAGGATCTCCCCGGCGTAGCCAGCGAAAATCATGTTTCGGGAAAACCAAGCCCTCCTGTTGACGCCGATACCACCGACCTGCCATCCTCGCCGCAGTCCGGGCAGCCCGGCGCTCCCGGTAGCATGGATGAGACCCTCTCGACGCCAGATGATACCCCTTCTTTGCATGTTGGTCGCGACCATGTTTGTCCCGCCCTGACCCCCCGCTGATGAGAATAGGGCTCTGTTCTATCGTCGCGAAGCAGCAGCGCGTTAGCCTTCCGCGGCTCTCCTCACCTCAGCCCCAGTCCTTCCCATCGCCCTTTCGATCGTCGTTTCCAGTCAAGACTCTCCTCTGCATCGCCAGTCAGTTTCCGACCGTCATCCCCATTTCTAGCCCAGATTCACTCCCGAAAATCTTCCCTTACTAGCCATCTATCGCCCGGGACCGTGGACTCGGGCGCGGACACCCCTCTGGGCCCGTGGGATGTTGTGCAATGGACTAGATTGAGGAAGCTCAATGGGCAGGCATTCTCGGAAGTTGGTAAACGGAACTTTGGACATCCCACCTGCATGGTCGTTTCGACGTCCATCGTGGTTGGTACGTCCAAGGGCATCATCCTGGTATTTGACTATCAGCAGAACCTGAAGACCATCATTGGACTTGGGACAAAGGGTACGTCTGATACTGAGCTCGTCTTAGGTCCCTACTGCTGACTTGGGCACATTGTAGCAATTGAATGTGGTGCGATCACGTCGTTAGCGCTGTCAGCAGACCACTCGACGGTTGCTGGAGGCCACACTTCGGGCGACATATTTACCTGGGAGATATCACGGTCAGCACGGCCTTTCCTCCATATTCCCCCAATACCTGCTAGTCAGATCGAGACTCGAACATCGGACAGCCATATCGCGGGTGCGCCGGTCATCCATGTGGGCTTTCTGGGAACGCGACGGACGGCACTCGTATCTGCAGATAAGCGCGGAATGGCCTTCTCACACCTTGCTACTCGAGGAATGGGCGCAATGGGACGGACGGTAAAGACTACTCGGATTTTGGGTCGCTATCCTCAGGTTTTCGCGGAAGGCAGCCGACCGCGAAAGCCCAGCTCGGTCCTGGCATTCTCGCCGCTCCCGCTCGGCAATGTCGAGCAATCCACCGACTCGCTAGGTTTGGTCGCCATGCTTACACCGTATCTCCTCGTCATTGTTTCGACGACGCCTATCGCACAGACACAACACAAGTCGCCCCGTCCGAAAGAAGTTACAGCTCACGGCGCCATGACTGGAGCCCTTGCCTGGTTCCCCGCCATCCGGCTCAAGGGCAAAGATTCGGAGATTTCCAAGACGAAGCTTGTATATTGTTGGTCCAATGTGCTGACGGTTATGGACGTCTCGGAGGTGGAAACCGACGAGTCGCCGAGCCGTGATCGCCCTCCAAGCCTATCCTTCAGACCCAGGAGCCGATGGAAGGCCGACGAGGCGATTGTTGCCGTGCAATGGCTGAGCCGCTCAGTGCTGGCAGTGCTCACTATCACACAGCAGTTGCTTATACTGGAGGACTACACCATGCGTGTTACGGAGGCTGTTGACCTCCTCAACCGGCATATCTACCACGTGGATTTGTTCTCCGCGCAGCTGCATAACTTGGTCGAGCAGTTCAATGAAGAGGACACATCGATGCATGGAGTGGTGGCAGACGCCTTTTATATGAGCTTCCGTTCTTACAAAGGGCGCTTGTTTCTCTTGGGCTTCAACGAGATGCTGATCGGAAGCCTGTCGAACTGGGCGGATCGGTTGTTGGCCCTCATGGAAGCCGGTGACTTTATCGGTGCGATCCAGCTGGCGACATCATACTATGAAGGTAGCGCCGAGAAGCTGACCATTGGATTACCGGAGGAGGATGCACTGAGGCAGCCATTGGTTCGAGAGAAACTCCTGGAAATGATCTCGGCTTCGCTGAAGTATGCCTTTGGGCGGAATACAGAAGCGAATAGCGGAAGACTGGGGAACGGACAGCTTGAGAAACTAGCCGAGGTGTCCATCGCGGCGTGCGTCTGTATGTCCGAGGAGGACTTCCTTTGGGACGAGGTGTTTACCTGGTACGAGGAGAGTGGCTCACCCGGGATATTTCTGGACGCGCTCGAACCGTATATCGTGGAGGGGACCGTCCGCTCTCTCCCTCCGACTGCCGTGAAGGCCCTGATCAATCACTTCGCGACGAACCACAGCGTTAGCCGGTTGGAAGAGATCATCTGCCTGTTGGATACCGCCACGATGGACATTGACCAGACCACTTCGCTGTGCAAGCATCATAATCTGTACGACGCGTTCATCTACGTCTGGAACCGCTGCCTGGGAGACTACGTGGGCCCGTTGCAGGAGCTCTTGCAGCTCATTCCGACACCGGAGGCGCTCGTTAATGGGGAGTCAGTAGAAGGGCTCAAGCGGTATACTAATGCGATGAAGATGTTCCCTTATCTTTCCTTCGTTCTTACTGGGCGTGTCTATCCTACCGGGGCAGACATGGACGACGCCGAGGCGACCCGAGCAAAAGCAACCTTGTACGATTACTTGTTCTCTGGCAAACCGTCTGGCACCAAAGCCGGGGCTCGAGCTCAGCCAGGCGGGTCGTTTCCCGAGCTCCAGGCCATGCTGCGATTCGACACATCCAGTTTCATGAGTATGATGAACGAGGCGTTTGAGGACAGCTTTTTGAATGAGCAAGAACCCGATGAGACTCCTGTCCGGGGAGTGTCCATTAACCGACAATATCTTATCAGCATTCTGTTACAGGTTATGACTCAGTCCTTCGATGCATCTGATACCATTTATTTAGACATGTTCCTTGCGCGCAACCTTCCTAAATATCCACAATATATTCTCCTCCCGGGCAGCACTCTTCACCAGGTCTTGGAGCGGCTGTGCCGATATCCGAGCCTGGATATGGCCGACGATTGCGAATTGAGCGCCGAGTACCTGTTGTCTTTCTACCATCCTCCCAACGTTCAGGGCATGATCCCGCTCTACAAGGAAGCACGCTTTTTCTGGATTCTGAAAGCTACCTACCGCTCTGAAAAGCAGTACCCGGAGCTAGTGCGCACATACCTTGAAGATCCGAACGAGCAGGAGGCCATCTTTACCTGTCTCCATGACTGCCTTCGTCCTGGCTCAGGACTAGGTAAGAAACAGCGACGTGATGTTGTCGACGTGGTCAAAGAGCATGCTGGCCAGCTGGTCGCCATCGATGTGGAGAAGACCGCCCAGACGATGCATGGGCTCGCACCGGAACTCCACGGGACCTTCCTTGACATCCTCAAAGAAGATACTGGCCGGCAGTACCAGTACCTGGGCGTTGTGGTGCGCATGTCTTTGCAGTCTGTGGCGGAGGGACGACAGGGCAAGCCCATCGAGAACTGGATGGTCGAGCGATATGTGCAGCTGCTCTGCAAGTATAACCCGTCTCGCGTTGCCGACTTTGTAGATGATCTACGGGTCGGAGACGTCCGGCTGGAGGAACTGCTGCCATCCATGGAGGAGAGTGGGGTGGTGGATGCGGCCGTGATATTGCTGGCTCGACAAGGTCAAGTGCGGGCCGCGATGGATCGTCTCATCACACACCTGGGGACTCTTGAGTCAGGGCTGGTAGGCATTCTACAGAACCTGCACGATAGCCCCGACTCCACCAGTACGACGGAGGCGATCGACCATCTCGTTGAGTCCCTTGACAAGTTTACGCGAGTGGGAACCTGGCTTTGCCAGGGGCAAAGCAAGACGGCGAAGAATTCACGTGCGGTGGAATGGAATGGCACGGGTAAGGGTAATCTGGAGCAACCTCTCTCCTTCGACGAAAGCCTTTGGCTAGATCTTATCGAGGCCGTCGTGCGGACGGCCAGCAGCGTGTTTGGCTTGGTGCAGCAAGAGCGTACAGCCCCAGTGACTCCGGCAACCAGCCACTTGATGTCGGCGTTCCGCGCCCTGGTGCAGCAGGTGTTCACGTCGCTGCTGTCCAGTACGGTGCGGGTTGGTGGATCATCAAGCAGCGAGCGGAGCGACGTGAGCTTTCTCCGCATTCTGCGGGCGTTCCTCACGCGGGCGGCCAGCTGGTCGCCCTCCCTGTTGGAACTACGGGCGGTACTGGCATCGATATTCTCGGCCTACACGTATGAGAAATCCCTATTAGCACTGGCTAACGGCATGCTGGACCGGGACCTGTTTGTGCATGTGGACGAGGTGACGCGACTACGGCAGCGGGGATGGCGACCACGCGGGCAGGTCTGTGAAATCTGCCGGCAGCGCATCTGGGGACCTGGGGTTGGACCCCAGTATTGGCAGGCGTGGGAGCAGAAACAGGAACAGACGCACGAGCAGCGTCTCCAGAAACGACTTCATGCACAGCATGATCCGGCGACCGCGCGGGGGAAGGGCAAGGCCGCCGATGCAGGTCAGCCGCTCCCGCTGATGGATGGGCATGCGGCCGCAGCAGATGGTGAGGGTGTGAATGGCGAGAACGCGACGGTGGCTGCTGGGCCGGTCGTGATCTTTTCCTGCCGGCATCTGTACCACCGGCGATGTCTGTTGGAGGTTGACTCTTCGACTACTGCGCACCCTGCGCATCCCCAGCACCGACATCATCATCAGTATCAGCATCAGCATCGTGGAGGACCATTTCACCGAGGAGGATCGGAGTGGGAGGAGTTGTTGGCATGCCCGATGTGTCCTGTACATAATGAACCAGCGATGGCAGCGTGACGACGATGTCCTAATAGCATTTTCTTCTAATTCTTTACTTTCATCTCTACTATCTCCTTGTTGTCTTAGTCTATTTTTTTCTGCATCTTAATGAATCTAACAGGATCGGCTGACCGAGGGAGGCAAATTCCCGCGAGCTGTCAAAAGGCCATTCGAAGTGACAGAAAATAAAATAACGTTGGTGAGTGGCATTCCAGTTGCTGCATCCGGGCGGGGATTTCATCTGCTGATGCTGCCGGCTATTTCCAATTTTCCACCCTGTCAGGCCCTCTTGATTGGGCTTTCCGATGCATCGCGTGGCCCTGTCCTAATCTCGGGTTATGGGCTGCAAGCCTGCATCTGCTTGCGGAATCCTTCCCATCTCGGGGCTGATCTTCATCCTCCGCGCGGTTTGACTAGACGCCCAGCCTGCAGCAACTTTCACTCGAAATGGTGTTCTACACGCCTTTATTGGCCAAACCCTCGACTCCGGAATGTGCCCGATCGCCTGTCACTGGCGCATTTGATTCTCTAGCTTACCCGTTTTCATGCCCTATATTGGCCCGCGGATTAATTAACGGTCTCGAATCAATCAATCAATCATTCAATCATTCAATCCACATGGGCCTCGCAGCTGGCCGACTGGTCCTACGCTCTGGTCCGGTGGGCTGGCTGTGGATTGTTCATAGTCGGCGCCACTCAGATCGTTAGTGTCTGTGTTTGAAAGGCTTGACCAGACCCGGAGGGGAGGCCCGAGGGGCCCCCTATCTCGGCGTTTGTCTCTACACTCCTCTCTCTCTTAACTAAACTTTCTACGCTCTCTCTCTCTCTCGCGCGTCGCGCCATATATAATCCTGTTCACGGCCATGGCTCGACGAATTCAGATACCTCGTCTCTAGACCAACATTCCTTTGCCTATTTCTGCAGCAGCTGCTACGATTGAGCTGCGGCTCCATTCCTTAGATCTCGCATACTAACACATTATACGCATTCATATATAAATATCTACTTCTTTTCATTCCTTTCTCACGATCACCTTTTCTGCAGAGGAAGAAAACTTCAATCTAGCTGGTCTACAGTTCAAACTTCTCCTCTACCTCCTCTCCTTGAAAAGAAAAAAACAAAACATAATATATTCTTCAGTTCATCGCGATGCGACGCACCGCGACTCTTCTTTCGGCCTTAGGCCTCACGGCGCAGCTCAGCTCTGCAGCCTACACTTTACAAGACGATTACTCGGGCGATAGCTTCTTCGATGGCTTCACTTTCTTCACCGGCGCTGACCCTACCAACGGCTTCGTCGACTACGTCGATGAAGCCACCGCCCAGAGCAATGGCTATATCTCCACCTCTGGCGACGCCCCTGTCTACATGGGCGTCGACCACACCAACATTGCCGGCAGTAGCGGCCGTCAAAGCGTCCGCATCAGCAGCGATGCCACCTACAACCATGGTCTCTTCATCCTTGACCTTGGACACATGCCCGGAGGTGTCTGCGGTACCTGGCCTGCCTTGTAAGCCCTCCTCCCTCTTCCTCCTCCTACCCTTCTCTCCCTATCCCTCCCTAACAAAAAGATAATTTGTAGCTGGCTCGTCGGCGCCGACTGGCCCAACAACGGCGAAATCGACATCATTGAAGGCGTGAACCAACAATCCGGCAACGACATGACCCTGCACACCAGCGACGGGTGCAGCGTCTCCTCTTCCGCAGACTTCACAGGCTCCATGACCACCGACAACTGCTACGTCTCTGCCGCAGGCCAATCCAATAACGCCGGGTGCGGTATCACTGACCCCGACGGCACCTCGTACGGCACCGCCTTCAATGCCAATAACGGAGGCGTCTTCGCAACAGAATGGACTTCAGATGCTATTAGTATCTGGTTCTTTGAACGCGGAAGTATCCCTGATGATATTGATTCGGGCAATCCCGACCCGGATTCTTGGGGTTCACCGGTTGCGAGGTTTAAGGGCGATTGTGATATTGATGCCCATTTTGATAGTTTGCAGATTGTATGTCGTCCCCCCCCACCCCCCAACCACTTCACTATTTCCCTGTTATGTCCTTGTTTGTTTGTTTATTTGTGTTGTTGGGTTGTGATTATATGGGGGCTAATGTGTTGGTTTGGTATAGATCTTCGATACTACCTTCTGCGGCGACTGGGCTGGTAATGTCTGGGGTTCGGGCAGTTGTGCGTCCGTCGCTAGCTCGTGTAGTGATTATGTGGCGAATAATCCGGAGGCTTTTGCCGATGCTTATTGGATTATTAATTCGTTGAAGGTTTATCAGGATGATGGTGTTGATGATGATACTGTTGCTGGGGTGGTTGATTATGGGGATGATGAGGATGATGAAGATGATCAGGACGACGACAACGATGATGATGATTCGGATGATGACGATGATTCAGACGATGATGATGATGATGATTCTGATTCTGATGATGATTCGGACGGCGACGACGACGATGATGATGACGATGATTCTCGTCCCTGGAGAGGTGGAGGAAGGAACCATCATGGTTCGAAGCTCAACGCGTCGACGTCGACCTCGTCGTTCCCTAGCCCGTCATTTGTGAGAAAGGCAAGGTGGGAGAGGAGGAATCCGATGGCGGGGATGATCTTCTAGATTCCTCGCTCGTCTGTCTTGTTTCGTCTTGTCTGATTCCATTCGTCACATCTTCATCTTCATCTTCGGCTTGGTTTTCACTCATTTGATTTACTGATGCGTTGGTTGCCTGGGTTTGCGGTCATTGATTCTTCGGTTGATTGGTTGGTTGGCTGCTTGTTTTGGTTTCACTCTTTCGGTGCATTCATGCATGCATGCATGGCATGTATAGATCTGGATCTATACGTGCATAACCTACATCATAGTACTACCTTCTTCTCCTGGGGTATGTACTAGTCGCTCGCTCTATCTCTACTTACTACTATACCCGTCACTCGTTAGGACGATTTACTCCAATTGAAGTTCATATTTCTTTCTTTTCCATTATCCCATCTAGCACTAGTATTGACTACACCAAATGACAGACACCCATAGACATGGTATATAAAACAAAACAAGCATCATCAATCATTACATATCCAGTCGATATCCCAACACATCTCGCTGATCATCAGTTATCCGTCCCCACTCAAGCAACAACCGGAAGAAATAAATCTCCATATCTTCCTTGCGAATCACCCGGTTCGCCCATTTCCGCCCCTCCTCGGCAATCCAAGTCCCCTCGATATCGTGCGGCGGCATGTGGACGTGTCGTGTGGCGCCATTTACGGTGAGTGTTGTGTCCACGCCGGCGAAATATGCCAGTGTGCTCCATAGCCCGTGTAGACGGAGGTCGATCGGCACAAAGTGCAGCCAAGGGGTGATGCGCGAGTCGAACCATTGGCGGAACAGACCAGTCTTAAATGGGAGGCTGTGGCTCTGCATGAAGGGGAGGAAGCGGCCGCTGAAGCCGGCGCCGTCCGAGTCGAATAAGTAGCGGTATTGCCAGTGGGATTGGAAGTCGACGCGGGAGGCGGCGCCGAGTTCTTTGCTTTGATCGTCGCAGTCTTCTCTACGGCAGCGGACGATGGGGTCGATGACGTTGACGGAGGTGTCGAGGTGGAGGATGTCGGCGGGGGCGCGACCGTTGAGGACTTCGTACATGTAGGTGTCTGTTTCGTTGGTGGGGAGGAAGACGGAGACGCTGTTGAGGGTGTTGTTGTTCACGAGGTGGGCGAGGCGTTGGCGTGGTATGCCTTTCCATTCGCCGTGGTTGCTGACGCCTTCGGAGGTGCTGCCGATCCAGAAGAGGGTGTTGGCTTTGTCGGTGTAGTTTGCGTCCGGGTGTTCTTCTGATGGCTTGTATTCGATCTTGTCGACGTAGTTCCAGGGACTGGGGAAGATGATGTCGTTGAAGCCGGCGATTGTGCTCTGGCTGAAGACGGGGGTCAAGTCTTGGGTGACTTTGAAGGATGCTGGAGATAGGAAGAACCCGTGCAGAGAGGCAAGGTCGGGCTGGTGGCAGATGTCTGTCGCTGCCGCCCAGTCGGACGGAAACTCTCCCAGCGAGTGGGGTCGGACGCAGCTGAGGCAGATGTGTCGACGGTCCCAGATGCGCTGACTGCGAGCTTTGGAGGAGGGTGGGCAGGTGGAGCTCACGTAGCGGTCGAAGATGTGTTTGAAGGAGTTGTCCACAAACATGGTTTCTGTCGTCTGGTCGGCCGGCTCGATTGGTCCCCATTGAGCACCGCGATCAGTCGACCATTCGGTCCTGATGCTGTCCTCCGGAGGTAGACCGTAAGACCTCGCTTGGTGGCGCAGGACTGAGACTTTCTCCCAGGGAACTGAAACTCGTGGCTCATCGTTCAAGTTGAATGCGAGATCCATATCGGGGAGGAACTCGGCGAATTTCTCAATCATCTTTGAAGCGCTGATCACCATCCACGCATGCGTGGGCTTGATACCTTCCTGCACTCGAGCTTTGCCGTCGCGGATGCTGATCGCACCGATCTCGTTGTAAGGATTTGTTGCCAGCTTCTGCGTCATGTCTCGGATTTGCGCAGGTGGCAATGCACGGAAGGGCAGAAGGTCGTTGTATATTTGGTCGAACTCATCGATGACTAGGGTAGATCGGTTGACAGCATATTCGTACCACTTATCAAAGTTCCTGATTTAGTTAGCTTCAGCTGGAAGATGCAATGGTGGGACGACGCACGGTGGTGGATGTTGATTGTATTGGGCGCGGTACTTCCGCACAGCATCGGCGAGAGTTTGACTGCTGTTGGCCTGCGCAAGCCATTGATTATGGTGCTGTCTCCCGTCGTACACAAGCAAATCAATAGGATGCAGATGCGCCGCGCTATGCTGCTGGTGCACCAGGATGAGGCCGATTGCAGCGAGAAAAGCGAAAGCAATCCGCATAGCCAGGTTGAATCGATATAGGAATTGCGCTTCATCTTCTGAAGCCGTTCGAGCATAAAGAAAGGCGATGGCTCCCGCAAAGATGAAGAAAAGAGCCGCGAAAGCGCGGGAGGCGAAAATCAACGGAAATGGATGTTGTCCGTTAAACAGAGTAGACGCCCAAGTGAAGTAGAGCGTGACGAAACCAGCCAGCACGGCCAGCCCAGCGATACCATAGTACGGGATCTAAAGCAGTCAGCATATGGCCACAATACACGGCTTCCCAGACTTACCAATTGGGACGCCGCAGCAACCACACAAGTCACCAGCACTGCTTGACCCACCGCACTGCGAAGATATTGAGCGCTGATGAAGCGGTCGTCGCCGTCGGAAGTAGCGACGAGGATTATTACAACGATGGTGTAGAAAATAGCCACTCCCTTCAGACCATGGTCAGTTTGGTTCGAGAAACATGTCACATTGACGCACCAGTAGGCTGTAGGCCCAGGAAGCCAAAGGCGGCTTCCTGATGCTCTCCCCCGACCGAGATCCTTCGCTCGCCAATTCAGCCGCACCAATCAAGATCAACGAGTCGAGAATGAGGCTGAAGATCGTGAAGACACGCATGCGCGTATGTAGACTAGAGGTATTGGGGCAGATGTATGTTGACTGCAAGCCACGGCTAAACGTTACGGTGATATATCCGCCTGTCAGAAGAAAAAATGCCGCTATGACATATCTCAGGCGGCTCTGAAAAAGGAAATTGTGCATGCGACTGGCAAAGGTAGCTAGGGCACGCAGATGCGCATTCTGAGGGCGCTCTGGGGCGGACCATTTCGCAACCGGTCGATTGCGTTGATTGCGCCAGTAGTCATAGAGGGCCAATAAGAAAGGTATAGTGTACTGCGCCAGAAGTCGAGTTAGCGCTATCGCCTAAGATCTAGCTTTTGGCTATTTACCGCGTATCCATCCGGCGCGCATTCAGTATGAAAAGTGAGGTCGCGATACAAAGCGATCCGGACGCATCCAAGGACCGAGAGTAAACCTAGTTTGATCCATCGCGCCGAACTGCGCGAGCGAGTGAGGGCAAAACTACTGTTGCTGTCCAAGCTGATCGGCGAGAATGGCTCTTCGAGAGATTGGTCGCGTTCGGTGAGTGGGATGGAGGAGTATTTAGGTGCAGACGATGCGATCTTCGGTATGCGATGGATGAATCGGCTCAGGATTAAAAGACAGATTCCCGCAAAGTAGCAGGCAAATACGGCTGTGATGAGAGGGTGATCTAGTAGGGCGTAATTTATTAGCCTTAAGGATGAAGACCATTTCGAACCGGCAGCCTACCGAAAGCGAATGTAGTCTTGTAAGACGTCGAAATAAAGGTACAGCTTAATAAGAATACCCTGTGCGTTGCGTCAGGTCGCTCCGTTGAGTAACAGAGATGGGCATTACTTGGTGGTATAACGGGTATGCTTATACTCACCCTATCGCGGCCTTGAGGCCGGTCTCAGCAGAGAGAAATACCATGACGCCAAAGGAAAGTTATGGGTAGAGAAAGCTAATAGCCATCATGGTTTGAATGACAATCACATCATGCAGCGCACAGGCAAATTCCGGCGCAAGAAGAAAGATCCGCAAGGGAGTAAGAGTAAGCAAACTGTGGTGCCTGGCTGGGGATGCCGCAAGGAGGTGGAGCCGTCAGTTTAACGTCCTGGCTAGGGCCCTAAGGGGGAAGATACACTTCCAGTAGAATGAATGGCATGTGCCCTCCGTAGTTTGGTGTTTGAAAGGTGTGGAGGAGAGAAAGAAGGGGGAGAGAAGAGGAATGACAAAGGGAACGACAACAGCAACCACCAAGAACATATCCTTAGAATATCATTCCCAGCAAGAGATAAGGGGAATTACTGTGTATGCCCGGGATTCGAGGGGATTGCGTCAACGAAGGGGTCTGGCCCACGGCTCGCGTCCATCACGGCCATCCTCATTCCACCACACGGGAGGAACTTGTCTTTTAGTGTCCAGATAGCTGCACTGCCCATTGCCTTTGCTCGAGCACGTCAGCACTCCGTCTCTATCCCACGACGATCATCTTTCTGGTCAAATGACAGGCCAAGAGTTACCGCTCAGTCCATCAGGTATATCAGAGGTGGTGTCACTGAACGCGTACTCCATGTAGATGCGCAAGACACACAAACTGAAACGGTCAGTCAATCCTGAAAGGAACCAGGAAAAAAGACATGGCAGGTTGCAGCGCTTAGCGTCAGGGTCCAGCCATTCCATGATCCATCTTTGGTTCCATCTTGGGGATGATCCTCTCCCCGATCGGGCAATCTCCCCTCCCGTGTGCCCCTCTGCAACGCATCATCAATCCTGAAAACTCTGGATCTTCCAGGGAGTCCAAGAGTCAAAGTTGAGCCAACTCATCCAGTCAACGTTGGCACTGGCAGGGACTGCGCGAATATCCTGGTGGGCGGGTAAAGCGTGGAGACTCCGTGGGGACTCGAGCTGAGACGGATTGAGAGTTGAGAGCGATCTTCCTTGCCTGCCCTGTCTGTCTTCTCTTCCACCATGAAACCCTAGAAGAACAAAGTCCTACACAAATCATAAGTTTACTATCCATTTAAAAAAAAGCATTGGCTCCTTAACAACTACATAATACGAGAATGAGTCTTGAATAGAGTAAGTTATTGTAGAACAAACAAGAACCAATCGCTTCGCATGCATACAAATCCTGATCACTTTCAAATATCTAGAGAGTCAATGTAGATGTCTGTAGTCTCAGGAATGCAAATAGCGACTGTGTTAACATATACGATACTCCCAATAGGACTAAGATCGCGTGCTATACATGAATGTTATGATCAACTAATCATTAATGGTAACCTCCCTGTCCCTGTCAGATGACTATCACGTGATACAGCACGAGTCAGGAACCGCAATTTACCTGCCTCAGGCAGTATAATAGGCGGTATCCCAAACAGAAAGCGGTCCCTAGCGGCAATTCTGATTTTCGGCGATAACTTTTTTTTGTCGGCGAGGAGAATCGCAGAGTACATCGGCAGTGTGAGTTTCAGTTTCTCTACCTGGCCGTCCGTTTCTCCTGTTGTTTGAGGGCCTGGTCTTTGTCTTCTTATTTCGCAATTCAAGTGGTGTTCCTGTATAACCACTGCAAACCCAGGATCTGTGGTCCCCGCCGCCGTCTACGAATTTTCGTTCGCGGGCCATCGACACCTTTCTGCGAGCGCTCTCTCAAATACCCAAGTCAACCCCCTCCCTTCTCCAGGGTCACAGGAATCAGCCTTCACCATGCCCCGCAAAGCCATTGATTCCCGTATTCCGGCCCTCATCCGAAATGGCGTGCAGGAGAAGAAGCGGAGCTTCTTCGTCGTCGTTGGCGACCGCGCAAAGGATGTCATTGTCCACCTCCACTATATCATGTCGAGCGTCGACGTCAAGCAGAACAAGTCCGTGCTGTGGGCCTACAAGAAGGATTTGCTAGGATTCACGAGTCACCGGAAGAAGCGTGAGGCCAAGATCAAGAAGGAGGTCAAGCGCGGCATCAGAGAACCCAACCAGGAGGATCCGTTCGAGCTGTTCATCACCCTCAACCAAATCCGCTATGTCTACTACAAGGAGACCGAGAAGATTCTCGGTAATACCTACGGAATGTGCGTGCTTCAGGACTTTGAGGCTATGACCCCGAATCTGCTCGCCCGGACTGTTGAGACCGTCGAAGGTGGTGGTATCGTCCTGCTGCTGCTGAAGGGCATGAACAGCTTGAAGCAGCTGTACACATTGTCCATGGATATCCACTCAAGATACCGCACCGAGGCCCACGACGATGTCACCGCCAGATTCAACGAGCGCTTCATCCTGTCTCTTGGTAGCTGCGATTCCTGCCTGGTCGTGGACGACGAGTTGAACGTCCTGCCCATCTCCGGCGGAAAGAGCGTGAAGCCGCTGCCTCCGCCGGAGTCGATCGACGATACCAACACTGGCACAAAGAAGGAGCTGAAGGAGATCAAGGAGAGTCTGGCAGAGTCCCAGCCTATTGGCTCGCTGGTCAACTTGGCTCGCACTGTCGACCAAGCGAAGGCGCTCTTGACCTTCGCCGATGCGATCGCTGAGAAGACCCTTCGGAGCACTGTCGCTTTGACCGCTGCCAGAGGTCGCGGTAAATCCGCAGCTCTTGGTGTGGCCATTGCGGCCGCTGTGGCGCACGGTTACAGCAACATCTTCATCACCTCGCCCAGCCCCGAGAACTTGAAGACCCTCTTCGAGTTCGTGTTCAAGGGCTTTGACGCTCTCGGCTACCTCGACCATGTTGACTACACCATCCTTCAATCGACCAACCCGGACTTCAACAAGGCCATCGTCCGTGTCAACATCCATCGCCAGCACCGTCAGACCATCCAGTACATCCAGCCCCAGGATGCCCACGTCTTGGGTCAGGCTGAGCTGCTGGTGATCGATGAAGCCGCCGCCATCCCTCTTCCTCTGGTCCGCAAGCTGATGGGACCGTACTTGGTCTTCATGGCATCTACCATTAACGGTTACGAAGGAACGGGCCGCTCCCTTTCCCTGAAGCTGATCCAGCAGCTTCGCGAGCAGTCCCGGGGAGGCGTCAAGGTCAGCGGTGACGATGATATTGATGTCGCCGATCGTGCCACAGGCAAGGCCGCCAAGAACATTGACAAGAGCCTGGCTGGACGTTCTTTGAGAGAAATCACCCTCTCGGAACCCATCAGATACGCACCGGGTGATTCGGTGGAGAAGTGGTTGAACAAGGTCCTCTGCCTGGACGCGACCCTGCCCAAGTCTCGCATGAACACTCAGGGCACCCCCCACCCCTCGCAGTGTCAATTGCTGCAAGTCAACCGTGATACCCTGTTCTCCTTCCACCCTGTTTCCGAAAAGTTCCTTCAGCAGATGATGGCTCTCTACGTTGCCAGCCACTACAAGAACACCCCGAATGATCTTCAGCTCATGAGCGATGCGCCCGCGCACCAGCTGTTTGTTCTCGTTCCTCCGATTGACGAAGAAGCCACCAAGCTCCCTGAACCCCTCTGTGTCATTCAGGTGGCGCTGGAAGGTCGCATCAGCCGACAGAGTGTCCTCAACAGCCTGAGCCGCGGCCAGCGGGCGGGCGGTGATCTGATCCCTTGGCTGGTCAGCCAGCAATACCAAGATGAGGACTTCGCCGGTCTGTCGGGTGCCCGGATTGTCCGTATCGCCACGAACCCAGAGTATCTGAGCATGGGATACGGTTCTCGTGCTCTTGAGCTGCTCATTGACTTCTACGAGGGCAAGTTCACCAGCCTTTCGGAGGATATCCCCGAGGTGCAGGATGAGATGGTCCGGGTGACGGACGAGGAGCTGACCAACTCCAACCTCTTGGATGACAACGTCAAGGTCCGCGATATCCACACCATGCCCCCATTGTTCGGCAAACTGTCCGAGCGTCGCCCCGACGCTCTCGACTACGTTGGTGTCAGCTTCGGTCTCACCCCCTCTCTGCACAAGTTCTGGAAGCGCTCGTCCTTCTCTCCCGTCTACCTCCGCCAGACCCCCAACGACCTGACCGGCGAGCACTCCTGCGTGATGCTGCGCACCCTGACCACCGGATCCAACGATGCCGCCTGGCTGGGCGCCTTCTCGCGTGACTTCCACAAGCGTTTCTCGTCTTTGCTGTCGTACCAGTTCCGCGAGTTCCCCTCCGTGCTGTCTCTCAGTATCTGCGAGTCCGCCAACTCCGGCGCCAAACTCGACCCCTCCATCTCCCAGAACCCCCTGACCAAGGCTGAGCTCGATGCCGCCTTCTCACCCTTCGACCTCAAGCGTCTCGACAGCTACGCCAACAACCTCCTCGACTACCACGTCATCCTCGACATGGTTCCCACCATCGCCGAGTACTACTTCTCCGGCCGCCTCAGCGGCAAGGTCAGCCTGTCCGGGGTGCAGCAATCCATCCTGCTCGCCATCGGTCTGCAGCGCAAGAACCTTGACACAATCGAGAAGGAGCTCACCCTCCCCTCGTCTCAGCTCCTCGCCATGTTCCTCAAGATCATTCGCAAGGTCTCCACTTACTTCCGCAACCTGATCGAGGGCGCCGTTGCCGAGACTATGCCCGCAGAGAAGGCTCCCTCCGCTCGGGTCACCACCGAGGCGCACGACGAGCTTCCCGACGAGCGCTTCAAGCCCCTGGAGACCAGCCTGGACGACGAACTCCGTGAAGGTGGTCAAGAAGTCAACGAGGAGCTTCGCGAGAAGCAGCGCGCCTTGATCGATGCTCTTCCTCTTGACAAGTTAGTCCCCCCTTTCTTCTTCCCCCGTCTTTCCTCCAATATAGTCCATCATAATCATTGAATGACAATAACTGATTTACAGTCTCCAGATACGAGATCAACCACGGTAGTGCGGCATGGGAAGAAGCCGAGAAGCAGATCCGCGCCGGCGGCGCTTCCACTGTCAGCGTCAAGACCAGCAAGCAGACCAAGCGCAAGAAGGGCGAGTCGGCTCGGGAGATCTACGACCAGGAGATCGATTCCAAGAGACAGAAGATCATTAAGAAGGGCACGGAGGGAAAGAAGAAGAAGCATTAGCCGTTTGCTTTCTCCGTTTACACTTACCTTCTTTCTTACCTGCTTTTTATTCTATACTTGGGCTGTCTCAAGTGGATATGTCTCTTTTTATGCATTGATTAGATCATGGTGTTATGTGTGTGTGTGTGTGTGTGATTTCTTTTTTTTTTGAAACTTCGAATGATGTATAGTTGGATTGTATATACGTGGCTGGGTTTGAAAAAGTCTTAATTGAATTCTTTAGAGAGTAAGCTTTACTCAAATGTTCACTTCAGATACCGATTTAACAGTGATTAGTATAGAACTTGGCGTAGCTAACAGTAGACGATATGTATGCTATTGATGCTTAATATGAGAAACCAGCTAGTAGTAACTTAGTAGCAGGCTCCGTCCGAATTACATATGTGAGACCTAATAAACACCTGTGCTAATAAACAAATTCATGCACTCCCATACGGATCATGTGTTTTTACAATTCGTCGTGGTCGACCGCCGGCTTCTCCTCGACGGGCTCTTCAACCACTTCCTCGACCTTCTCTTCAACCTTCTCCTCAACCACCTCCTCAACGACAACACCATCAGGTAACTTCTGCTTCTCGCCCTCACCCAGCCTAATCGCATCAATCCAAGCCTCGACACGCTCCTGGCCGTACTCCGCGCCCTCAACCGAGTCATACCTGCGCCACCAGCCACGACGTCCATTCAAAGCAACGATCTCCACAGAGTTATCCTCCGGCAGACCGAGCCCAGCGCGGAGGGTCTTAGCTCCGCTATTGATAGCCGGGACACTGTAGAACGGGAAGAGCTTGCTCTTACGAACGGCATGCTTGTGTGAGATCTCAGCCAGACTGAGGAGGGCGTCCTTGGCCGGAGCGGGGAGGTCTGCGTCGGGCTCGCTCGGTTCAGGGAGGAGAGCCAGCACGCAGGTACCGGATTTCGGCATCAGACAGGCAGCCTCGAGGGCTTCCGCGGTGGGGAGGGTATCAATGGGAGGGGCCGGGATGGGCACACTGGCGGGTTTGGTGTCGTCGTCCTGGGCGACCTTCGCGTCTGGGGCAGATTCGGTGGATTTCTTCTTGTTGTTATCGCGGGGCGCGGTGGTGCCCTTAGGGGCAGGATCCGGGTTAGGAGCGGCGGCTTGGCTGAGGAAGTCGACCATGGGCTTCTTCTTCAGTTCACCGTCGTAGACGATGGGGTCTTGGCCGCCTCCTGGGAGGAGGACGAAGGTCGGAAACTCGGTGATGCCGAATTTCTCGACGGCTTCGGTTTCCTTGTTGCGGACTTGGGCGACTTGGATGGAGCCGAGGAAGTCGATGGCCAGGGCGCGGAGGAGAGGGCTGGTGGTGCCTTTCTCCGTGAAGAGGATGGCCTTGGGCGACTCTTCATCCTGCGCGAGCCAGGTGTTCAGGTCCTTGTCTGTTGCGCGCTTCACGTGGTTGGGGATTCGGTCGACGACTGCTTCGACGATCGCTTTGGCGCTCCGCGCGCCCTTGTAGTCTTCCACGCGCGGCTTGCCGGGTTTCTTGCCGGGGGTGACGATCTTGAGGGTTGGGAAGCCCTGGACGCCCATGCGGCCGCAGAAGGGTTTGTTGTCGTCATCGTCGCAATTGACGGCTGCGACTTTGGCCAGGCCGTCGAGGTTGGTTGCGGCTTTTTCGTAGGCGGGTTTCAGGTTCTGGCAGTGACCGCACCAGGGCGCGTAGAATCTGGAGGAGAGCGGGGGGTGGTGTTAAGGATTGTGGGAGGTAGATGGGTAGGGTGGTAGATGGCTTACTCTACGATCTAAGAGAGCTTGGTTAGACTTGTTTGTAGACCATTGATGATACACTGCGCAGCTGGACTCACCGAAGTATGATTGGAGTTTGCAATCAGCTGGTCATAATTCTTCTGGTTGACCTGCAAGACGGGGGATTTCTTCGTATACAATCCATCAGCGTTGACAGGCAACGCCGCCAGAAGCGACGTGACGAAAAGCAGTGCCGAGCTGGGCTGCAGCATGATTGCGGGTGAGGAAGAAGCGAGAGGGGATTTCAGGAGTAGCAGCTAAAGCATCACCCAGCGGGGATGAGTGTGAGGAGAAGAAAAAGGGAGAAGAGAGGACAGAAAGAAGTAGATAGAAGCAAGGTGTCCTGAAGCTCTTGGCATGTGACGCGAAATGTCTTAAGAAAGTAATATTGAATTGTATGTATTTGGAATGGCGGCGGATCCGTCCGTTCGATGTTCCCCGCCGTCATCCCATTGTTCATCCCCCATGAATTGCATCCAATATTCAGTCAATTATTCTGATTTCTGACAGTTCCATGGCCATCGGCAATCCTGTTCTGTCTTCCAGGCAAAAAAGCCTCGATGAGCACAAAGCTCCGTAGCTCCGGGCCCATAAGATCCTTTGTTTATGCGGAGCCCATACTATTATCTACTTAAGAGTTGGACAGTCTTGGACTAGACTAATTATAATTAGTTACCATCTGCTATTATTCGAGGGTCTCTTTTCTTTTAGTGCTCGGAATCCCCCAGGCACTTTTCCCCGCCTTACCAATTCTCAAGAAAAACATAACATAACGACCATGTCCAATGCATCTCCATCTGAAGGCAAGGGCATGGCCCTCCTGCCCCGGGAGATCTTCTGGCTTATACTGAAGCGTCTCGACCCGGGCGATGTCCTCCGTTGCCGACGAGTCTGCAAGTCTTGGAACGAAGCCTTTCGCATTGGCGCCAACCTGCTTCCAATGCTAAAGAAACGATACCCCTTAGCCAGAGAAGTGCGACAGCTAGCCTCTGAAAGCGCAGAAACACTCGAATCACCAGAATACGACACTCACATATCCCAGATCTTCGACAAGGTCACAGCCAAATACGACTATCTAAGTCGACTAACGTACCGAACAATGCACAAGTTCAAGCTCACCAATGACTTCGGCATCACAGGCCAGAAGAACTGGTTCTCCGTCCCGCCATGGGAACACCACGCCAGCCATCTCAGGCAGCGCGTCGACCGATCATTCGGCGAGACCTTCTGGACCTACGACGACGGGCTCCTAGTATTCCCAAGTGCAGAGCATTCATGTCTCGTCCTGATGGACATGGAAACCGACAGAAAATTCATGGTCCCCTTCATCATCGTCGGACGAGTAATCCGCCGAGTCCGTCTGCAGAAACGAGTCCTCATCATCGAATGGGCAGAATACATACCCTACCACTGGCTCAACGACAGCGATGGTGTCCACCGACACTTCGCCACCTCCTTCGACGTGAACCGCAAGGAAGATGGCTGGAGCGTCAACTTCCGAAATGAGTGGAAGATCATGTTCCTCGGCCATCCTCTCAGCGAGCGAGATCGGTTCTACTCCACCCATACCAGCACCCATTATGCCATCTACATCTGGCAACCCAACCGTAGCCTCTACACCGCAGACGAAGACGCCCCCATCGAGTCCCTCTCCGTCTGGGACATTTCCAAACCCTCGGATTACCGACCTTCCCTAGACCCAACGGGTCGCTTGCGATTCGAGTCCGGAGAAGGAGGAGGAGAAGAAGACCTCGGACCCACCATCATCACTCGCCTTGGGTTCCGAGAACTAGACTTCTATGGCATCCGTCAGCGAGGTCTCCCAATGATACAATCCCTTAGCATCACCGACGACGATCAGTCTATAGAGATTCTCGAGGGTACGTGCGCGGGCCGTTCACCGCAGGTTCTTATTCCTGATGCATGGGAGTCTGAGGTGTGGGTGACGACTATCCCCATCGTTGGCGAGGGACCGCGCCGGCGACAACGCGCTGACTTTGCCTTGCCGCCGTATCGAGGGAATTGTAGCTTGCAGACTAAACCTATTACTTTTGCGATATGCGATGAACCGTGGCATTCTATTGTTTGTGAGTCGTATGATGAGCAGTCGCAGACGGGTTATTGTCTTTACTTTGAGAAACAGGAATGGCCGATTGAAATGGCTCTGTTTCTCGCTGTTGCCTCACCTGAGTACGCTCCTGAACCGGCAATTGTCTTGCCAGGGAGCATGGTAACGGAGTTCATTGGGATGGGGAAGGTTTGTGGGACGGAGGACTATATAATAGGGCAGAACCGCAATCGCGAGCTTGTTATATTTAGGTTTGATAGATGAGGTGATTGTTCCATTACGGAGGAATACCGCATTGCACACTTAAGCTCACTAGATTAGGTTTTCATGAATGGTAAACGAACTAGAAACAAACCGTCAGAAATACCACAGTCTCAAGTAGTATCAAATGAAACGTAGACCAGACCACGATCTTCACCTCCTTTGAGAGAAAAATAAAAGAAAAGAAAAGAAAACAACCGGCTCCTACCAGCCCAGCGCAGTAGCATCCCATCCCCTCAGCAAATCCCCCACCCCCTCCCCCTTACCCGCAGCAGCAACAGCAGCAGCAGAGGTCAACCTGCACCCCGCGCACTTCTCAATCCCGCATCCCGGGCAAGTGAGCATAAAAAGTGGCTGCCGAAGCTGGCACCCGTCACACTTGTCCCGGCCAAAACTCTTCTCCCAGCCGCCCAGATGGAGACAAGTCGGGGCATCTTGCTTCTCCTTGCTGAGCGGCTTCGCCCCCGGGAACGTGAGGCGGACACCTTCCAACCAACCGCAGTACACGTCGAAGACCATGCCAGTTAGCTCGAAAAGGAAGTCCTGGCTGGTGTAGCTGCTGGCTGGGCCGTTGAGTTTAGAGCAGAAATGGAAGAGGAGCGGGTCGCCATTGTCGATGCTAGCGGTGGCGTTGGGTTTGATAGCGGGGGAGGGGAGGAAGGGCGTGACAGAGGGGAGGGAAGGAGGGTCGAAGATGCTCGAGTCGGAGGGTTGGGGCAAATTGCTCATTAAATAAGTCAGACAGACACCGCCGGCTTCATCCATGACAGATTCAGCGTCCGATTCTCTAGCACATTCGGCAGTCACGTATTCGGTGCTCTCGGAGAAGTTCGAGGCAGGCTGCTCGCTCGCAGTGTGAGAGAAGTGAAAGAAGTAGATATCTGCTCCATTGTTATTGCCGTTATCCTCGCAAATATCGTCCTCATCATCGGAATGATAATATCCATCATCTTCGTAGCGATCCGCATCATAAAAATTGTCGTGGTGTCGAGTAGGTGCTCCTGCTCCTGGGCCTTGGGGCTGCTCGTCGTCTTCATCCTCATCCTCAGGATCATCATTCTGGCTCTCTCCACGATAATCGTCATCTTCTTTTTCGTCATCGTTGTCGCTGTCATCGGCATCCTCCTCCTCCTCATCGTCTTCATCATCGCCTTCATCCTCGTCTCCACCGTAGTAGACGGTCTCTTCTTCGTTGTGATAGAAGTTCTCGTGCCACTCTCTGGGGACATCGGACCCAGCCTCCTTAGATTTCCAGCAATGTTCATTACCGTAGCCACGAGCAAACTCTTTCTCATCATGGTCGAGTTCATCTTCTTCCTCCTCATTCCTCAACCTCTCTTCATCCTTTTCAACATTAACCCTCATTGCCATTCTTCTCTTTTCAGTACTCGCAGCTTCCTGATTGCGAAGATACTCCAGGATGTCCTGAAAATGCTGAGGTTTGTTAAACAAAACGCCACCGTCATCAACCCCTTCATCCTCCTCACCGTCATTGTCTCCATTCTCACTTCCCATACCATCCGCAGTCGCAGCCCGTGCTGCTGCCGCCGCCGCCGCCGCAGCCTCTCTCTCCAACTGCTCACCTACTCTGATCTCGATCTCTACACGAGCTTTCTCAACCAGAGACTCTGGAGCGAACGGGTCCATATGAACACTATTGCCGTACTTGTATCTGTACAGCTCCATGGGGTCTTTGAAATCCTCGTAGCGCTTCCAGCTCATAGGTCTCCAAGATCCTTCTGGCCAGTCTTCGTACTCGTCGTCAGAGGCAAACGGGGTGGAGTGGAAGTAGTAGCCAGCTCGACGGAGTATATCGTCGTGCTCTTGCTTCCGGATGGGATCGCGGAGGGTCTCGATGGCTTCTTGGATCTGAGATAATGTGAGATTCAGCTTGCTTTATTGCTTAGAAGATTGTGTGGTGATGATGGTCATCGGAGAAGATGAGTGAGGGCGTCGATTGTGGGGTTCATATAATCTTTTCTCTTATTCACTCACCTTCTGGAACTCGTCGTTGGAGACATCTGCATTACCGGTGCCTTGCTTGTCCGGATGATGCTTCAGTGCGAGCTTCTTGTACGCGCTGTTGATGTCCTTTAGAGACGAGTTGTGAGATATTCCCAGAATCGAGTAGTAATTGGTCACGCGTGTAGCGGAATACATCTTGATGGAATGGCTTGATTCCTAAAGTTTCAGGTAGATGTGAAGATGTGCAGTCTGGGAGATACAAGATGGCGTAGGCGTGAGGGGAAAGTGACGGGCGTTGCAAGTAGGTGCAGGAAGAGAAGGAAACAAACGCCGAGAGAGGATTGTTGACAGGTCCGGACACATCTGTCAAGGAAAGCAGTGAATGGAAGGGACTTCCCCCGAATACGTGAAGTTCAGCCCGTGAATGCAAACGTGAAGTGACGGGAAGTTCCCGTTTGATATTCCCGCCTATGTTGTGTAATGACAGCAGCATTCCCTCCACACTACCAATTGGTCATGAGAACACAAGAAAACAATGACAAAGAAAAGATAGTGATAGATTTTACAGGCTGACAAGCATCTAGGTATTTATGAGTAAGTCTACACACATGGCGACTCCTCCCCACACGAGCTTCATGGAAGCTTTTACATGTCCGCACTGGCGGTGGCACCAGTGATAATTTCAACCAGTTCACCGGTAATGGCGGCTTGACGCTGACGGTTGTACAAGATCTGGAACCTGCATGGTATTAGCCTTGATCAGTGAAATCGGGTGAACTTTGAGACTTACTTGTTGATCATCTCACCAGCGTTCTTGGAGGCGTTCTGTAGAGTATGGTTAGTCTGGGTTAATTTCGAACATCTGAATAATACTTGCCTCCATGGCGTTACGACGAGCCTGTAATCACATTAGCTTGTTATTCCAAATCAAAGGTTATTTTAAGCGGAAGAACTTACGGAGATTTCGCAAGCGTGACCCTCAGCCATAGCCCAGAAGAGGTTGTTGGCAAGGGCGTATTCACGGAGGTGGGCCAGAGTCTGGTCATCAGTCTCGAAAGCAGAGAGGTTGGCTAGAGCAGAGAGTTCAGTCCCGATACGCGCAAAACACATTACATCAGATATAACTCACGAGACTGGGTGATAGCCTCCTCAGAGTAAGCCTCAACGGTACCGGCCTCGTAGGACTGGGCGTTGATGAACTGGTTGTAGATGATCTTGATGCTGGCGTAGTCGGTGGGCAGCTGAGAGATCTGGTCGGCAATGGACTGAGCGTCGTTGAAGGTGGGGATGTCCTTGCAGACGTTGGCGAAGCTCAGGACGATGGCGTTGGGGTTGGTACGAGACAGCTGAGCCTTGGCCTTCTCACCGAGGACGACGATGTCGGCATCGGGGTGCTGCTGGAGCATGCGACGAGTAGCCTTGCTGAGACCGGAGTGGATACCACCGCAAAGACCCTTGTCGGAGCTGGCGACGACGAGCAGAGTCTTCTTGTCCTCGAGAGGCTTGGTCTCGGCGTTCTCGAAAACGGTGTTGGAGGTCTGACCGTAGGTGCGAGAGTCCTCCATGGCCTTCTGGGCGCGAGTAAGACGGGTGGAGGCGATGACCTTCATGGTGTTGGTAATCTTCTCGATGTTCTTGATGGACTTGAGACGGCCCTCGATTTCACGCAGAGTCGCGAAGTTGGCGGCATTGGGAGGAGCAGTGCTTCCAAAAAATCAGCCATTGAGCCACTCGGTTGGTTTGCTTGTAGCTCCATCTCCTCGTTTTCCTGAAGGTTAAAGGACTGGTGGGTTGGGGGGTGGGAGCCAGCTGGGACAGCCTAGCTGGGGTGTGGGAAGGAAACGAAAAGGCGACGGACGGGCGGGTGTTGTGGACATTCCGGAAGAGAAGAAGAACTTACCGGGAGACCGCAATGCTACCAGCCCTCACAGCCGGACGAACAGCACGGGAGAACATATTGCAAAGAAGCCGTACGGTCGAAAAGACCAACGATAAACAATCGTAGAGGGGATAGTGTGGGGAGAGGGGGGAGGAGGGAGAGGGTAGAGGAATCCTCGTAGGCTGGCGGTTGAGAAGTCGGTGGTTGAAGTTGGACTCCTGTTTCTGTTCTTCCGACAGCCGGCAGCACGGGACCCAACCGCGCTAGACCCAAACTGGTAGTCTGGTGGTGAAATGGCTGGTGGTCCGGGTGTCCGGGTGTCCACAGCGACCATCCGTGCAACCCGGCCGGGCGTGCACAGCACTAATCCTAAACGGGCAGCTCTCGAGTTGCCGGGCATATCAGGTGACCTGGCTGCGCGCAGGCTTACGTCGGCTGAGTCAGCAGCGCCACTCAGGCATGCAGGCACCGAGGCGCCCGGAATTGAAATGGAGTCGTCATAATTTCCATACAAACTTCCAGACCCGGCAGCCTTGGCACCTCAGGCTGCCAGCCTCCTCGCACGGCGAGTGGCTGACGGTCCGGAGAAACGTGAAGATCGCCTCAGGCCCCAAAAGACGGCCTCGTTTTCCATTCCATTCCTTCTCTTCTTCCTCTCTTTCCTCTCTCTCTCTCTCTCTCTCTTCTCTCTTCCCTTCCCTTTCCTTTTCCCTCTCGTCATCCTTGGCTCTGCTGTCTCTTTTCTCTCTTCTTCCCCTCTCCCCCCTTCAGCTTCTTCTCCTCTCCGCTCCTCCCGCTCGAGTCTCTTTCCACCCTCCCCTCTCCGGTTTCTCGTTTTCCTTCCGTCTTTCCCTATTCGGTCTATGTCTGTCTCTCCCTTCTAGTAGAACGCTTTCTCGTTGCCATCAGCCTTCCCATTGGCCAGGCTGCCGTTGCTTTCATCACTCCTTCAAGCGCCAGCTCCGGTCCGCAGACTCGCCCTCTCTCGCGCGCGCCCCTGCGCTCTCCCACCCCGGTTTTGCCTGTCTACTCGCTCCTTGGGCCCACGCGCTTTTTCCATCAATCGCCTGGCAACCATGAGCTCTTCGGAAGACGATACCCCGCTTGTCAAGGCAAATGGTCGCCTTACCAGTGAGTGTTGCTTTCCTCTCTTTGCTCTCACATGACCCTTTCCCGCCTCTCTTTCACGCCTCATTTACCCATCACTTCCCTTTGTTTGGGGTCACTTTCGCGACTCAATCACCTCTTTCTGCGCATTGATCTCTTTGACCCCTCATGAATGCGATAAGTCTTACACTTCCTCTTGTTTTTTTAAGGTTCCCATACGGACTCAAAATTGCGCGACGCGACGGAGACAAATGGCCATGTTGATCCAGGCGTATCCATCCGCTTTGGTCCCGTTCAGGCCGAAAATGATGTGGACATGGCCGATGCCGACGCTGCCGCCGTTCCCAAGCGGAAGTCGCGCTCAAGCGTCGGTCAGAGAAAGTCTTACGCCGAACCTGAGAGCAGTGAGGATGATCAACCTTTGGTACGCCGATTACCTCCACGCCAGTTCCTTCGTTCCCCCTACTCTCGCGACGCTATTGCTGTCGCTGTTCGTTCCAGCGGCTGACCAGTCGACAGAGCAAGCGACGCCGCACTTCCGTGAAGCACGAGGACCCCGAAACGGACGATGACGTACCTCTGGCGCTCAATGGAAGAAAGCTTCCCAAGGCGTCGGAAACGGCTATAGGTGAAGAATCCGATTCCGATGTGCCTATCGAAAGAAAACTCGCCTCTCAGAAGAAGAAGATACAGCAGAAGGCAGAGAAGGATGCGAAAGCGACCCGCAAACAAGCCCCCCCGAAGACTACGAAGGCCACAGCAACCAAGAGACAGGCCAATGGCGTGAAGAAAGAGCCCGAAGACGTGAAGCCTTCGACCGTCAAGAAGACGGCAAAGCCAACCAAGGCCAGTGAGAAGGCTGCGTTGCCTTCGCATGTGAAGCGGGCTGCCTCTAGCGCCAAGTCGACCCCTGTCAAAAAGGAAGAAAGCGAGGAGGCTGAAGACGCCGAGGAAGAAGAGTACAGATGGTGGGAAGACCCGACCAAGGGTGATGGCACGATCAAGTGGACGACCCTTGAACACAACGGCGTGGTTTTCCCTCCTCCGTACGAGCCACTTCCTAAGAACGTCAAAATGAAGTATGATGGCGTCCCTGTCACTCTTCATCCTGACGCTGAAGAAGTGGCTGGCTTCTTCGGCGGCATGCTCAATGCGACTCAGCATGTTGAGAACCCCACCTTCCAGAAGAACTTCTTTATGGATTTCCGAGATATCCTTAAGAAGACTGGTGGCGCAAAGGATCCCAAGGGCAACAAAGTGGACATCAAAGATTTTCACAAGTGCGACTTTCAGCCAATCTTTGCCTACTACGACAATCAACGTCAAGAGAAAAAGGCTTTGCCACCGGCTGAGAAGAAGCGTTTGAAGGCTGAAAAGGACGCTCAAGAGGCCCCTTACATGTATTGTATGTGGGACGGACGGAAGCAGAAAGTGGGCAACTTCCGAGTGGAACCGCCAGCTCTCTTCCGTGGACGTGGTGAGCATCCCAAAACTGGCCGTGTGAAGTCGCGTGTGCAGCCGGAACAGATCACCATCAATATTGGCAAAGATGCGCCTGTTCCGCCTCCTCCGGAGGGCCACAAGTGGAAAGAGGTCAAGCACGACCAAGAAGGCACCTGGCTTGCAATGTGGCAGGAAAACATCAATGGCAACTACAAGTATGTCATGCTTGCGGCCAATTCTGATGTGAAGGGTCAGAGTGATTACAAGAAGTTCGAGAAGGCTCGTGAATTGAAGCATCATATTGATCGGATCCGCAAAGATTATCAGAAGAACCTCAAGCACGAGCTGATGGTCGAGCGGCAAAAGGCGACGGCAGTATACCTTATTGACCAGTTTGCTCTTCGTGCTGGTAACGAGAAGGGTGAAGACGAAGCTGAGACTGTGGGATGCTGCTCTCTCAAGTATGAGAACGTTACTCTCAAGCCTCCAAACAAGGTTGTCTTTGATTTCTTGGGTAAGGACAGCATCCGCTTCTATGATGAAGTCGAGGTCGACACCCAGGTTTTCAAGAACTTGAAGATCTTCAAGAAAGCGCCCAAGAAGGAGGGCGACGAAATCTTCGATAGACTGACGGTATGTACTTCGACTGGCTCTTGGATTGCACCGCTAATGGACGCACGTAGACCTCCGCCCTCAACAAACACTTGTCGACCTACATGCAAGGATTGACTGCAAAGGTGTTCCGTACCTACAACGCTTCCCACACTATGTCCACGCTGCTGAAGGACATGAAGGCGACGGGTAACATTGCAGAGAAGGTGAAGGCGTACAATGACGCCAACCGCAGGGTCGCCATTCTGTGTAACCATAAGCGAACTGTCGCTGCATCCCATGCCAACCAGATGGAGAAGATGAGTGAAAGGGTATGTTGACCAGTGGTGAACACTATAGTTGGGGCGCATTGCTAATACTTATCGCAATATCTTTAGATCAAGGGACTGCGGTACCAAAGATGGCGTCTGAAGCAACAGATGCTCGATCTCGAGCCTAGTTTGAAGAAGAAGAAAGGCGCCAAGTACTTCGAGATGGACGAAGACATGGACATGGAATGGGTGAAGGAGCACCAGGCCTACCTTGTGGAAGAGCAGCGCCAGAAAATCCAGAAGAAGTTCGAAAAGGACAATGAGAAGCTCGCTGCAGAAGGCGAGAAGGAAATGAAGGCCACTGAGCTGGAGAGCCGTCTCCAGGCAGCAAAAGATATGGAGAAGAAATTTAACAAGGAGAACAAAACCGGAAAGGTGGAAGCCGAAGGCAAGTCCCCGACGGTCGATAAGCTCGAGGCAGCGATCACGAAGCTCGAGCAGCGCATTGAAACGATGGAGCTTCAAGCTCAGGATAAGGAAGAGAACAAGGAGGTCGCTCTAGGAACCTCGAAGATCGTAAGTTTCTGTCCCTTGCTATGGTTGATGATTCTTGATCGACTAACACCACATAGAACTACATCGACCCTCGTCTTACTGTGGTTTTCAGCAAGAAGTTCGATGTTCCTATTGAGAAGTTCTTCTCCAAGTCCCTCCGGGAGAAGTTCGAATGGGCCATCAAGTCGGTCGAAGAGGATTGGGAATTCTAGATTCCCTCGACCGCGTCGCATCTCAGTTTCGCGAATCCTCCCCGCTCGATCCATTGAGCCTGACTCCGGATACAGAGTGTTTCCTTGTTTTCATTTTCCTCTATTATGTTCTTTGCCTACACCGGTGGTAAAACGGATTGTCTTACGCATAATGCATTTTTGGAGCCTTATATTATTGTTCTTTCTCCTACTTTTCTCTCTTTTTCTTCTTTGCTCGCCACATCTCTCTCCCAAAAGCCACCCCTGCCTTCTTGTCGCTGTACACCCCGCTTCAATTTACTGTCTCGATTCATTACGATGAACATGCAAGAGGGCTTATCTTCAGCATTACCAGTTTGCTTGCCCACCTCTGGTCTTGGTTCTCGCTACGTCTTGGACATTTCTCCCCCTTCGTTTCAAGTTTTAGCCCTCCATTGACCCTACAGATGAAGATAAGAAGAATAAAGAAAAAAGAAAAAGAGTTATACACCCGGGAAACTCGATACATCTATCAATATATTATAAATATATACAGATTCACATAAGGCATCTGAACGTTATACAGTTGTAACATGACATCACGAGTCTATAACTCGCTTGATAGCTTAGTCTTATTAGTAATCTTTGTAGGAACTGACAACCAAAACCGCGTCATGATTGATGTAATTCTTAGCTTGGCTTTAAACATTTTGAGATTCATACTAGCTTTCCTATTATCAAATCATTCGTGTTTGTATGCTTCAGTGGCAGTGTTTATAATGTCGTCCGGAGCTAGCCAGTATGATGTTATGATAGTTGGCGAACAAGCTTACTCTAAACCAGAACTGCTACATAGTTACCATCATGCTACTAAAGTGGTCTGTTGCAAATCATGTGATGCAAAAAGGATATGGTACGGAGTAGATATATCATGACGCTATATTCCAGTTTCTGAACGCCTAATTTTCAAAATTGAGGGGTTCTGGGCGCTAGCGATCGGCATACCACACTTATAGCTGACATCAAGAGTTCTGTCATGCATCGTGGAAGTGGAGAAGAAAATTGAAAGGGATTTATTGGAGTAAATGATGAGAGGGGAGTGAGTGGGCATGTATCCAGAGTACGCAGATTGAGACAAGCTGGATTATGTAAATGATGGTAAAAGACGGCCATGAGGGATGGCGGCCTGAGGTTAACATTCAAGGACAAGGCTCAACCTATCCGTAGTGTATGTAGTGCAACAAATAAAAGAAGAAGAAAGATATAAGTAGTCTAAGATGTGCATGATGTTCATAATCAAAAGGGCACACCATCTAGCCCCAGCCAGTGACAGAAGAATGTATAAATGCAAGAAGGATATAGAACATACCAGTTGCTCAAGAACGGAAACCCAGAGACCCAAACAGAATATTACAGATTACATGCAGAAACGGTCCGTGGTATACAACATGCGAACTTGAGATGAGTGGATGCGGATGCGACAGGTCTATGTGCTTTTTGCCCGAGGATAAGGTCGAGTTGGTGTGTTCTGAGAGGGCAATGCGTGGTCATGCACGGTGGGAGTAGGAATGGCTCTCATATGCGTCATCAACCTCGCTGTTATGCTCGTGTAGAGGCCGGGTCGAGAACATGAAAACAGGAATATCACGTGTGGGGTCGTCTATGGCCACCAGCCCATTCGCTTGTAACTTTCAACCATGTCTCGTACGGCATTGGCGTCGAAGCGCTCTCGGGATGGCTTCCATCCAGTGGTCGTCTCAAATAGCGTCCCATCCAGACACATGTCTTGATCCTTCAGTACATCCTTTTCCAGGAATGGGCCAATGGGTCCAGGCCGTTCGATCTTCTTCTCTTCGAGCAAGTCAGCCCATCCCTGTAAGCATTCCTCGTTCATGTCATCCACCACATCATCAAGGTTCAGCTTCGCGAATTGGGAAGCTAAAGAACCCAAGAAGTCACACTTAAGCTTGAAAACTTCAGACAGGGCCTTAGCGATATCTTCCTGGCGAGTATCGCCGTGGTCGACCACGTTGAATGCAAGGGGCGCTGAACCGTCCGTGGGAGCGTTTGCTCTCCACTCAGCCGCTTTCCACAAGGCGCTGGCTGCGTCCCTGACATATACGGTGTTGATCTTCAGATCCTTAGTGTAAAGAAGCTCCAGATCCTTCTCGAGCTCCAGGTGAACGCGAGCAAGGCATATTCCCATCGCGAAGTAGCCCGAATCGTATTCTCCGTAGACGTGGGGCAGACGAAGCAAGCAATAGTTGAGACCGGGAATTTTTTGCAGCTCCTCGCTGGCCTTCATCTTCCACTTGGCCAGCTTGTGCCACGGCTGCAGTTTGTCATCTTCCTTACGTGGACTCGAGCCGCCTTTGTAGACGTGAGCGGTTGAGCACTCAACGAAAGAGCGGATACCTCGGCGGGCGACTTCGCGACCCAAGGCGACTGTGAGGGCGTAGCTGCGGACTTCGTAGACGTCATCGGGTTGCGAATGCCTGGTTTCACCTCCACAGTTGATCACATAATCAAATTGTTCGCCATTGGCACGGTCAAAGATACGAGGGAAGTGCTCTGAGTTCCGAGACGCAGGTCAGTAAGACTATTGCCCTGGTCGCATATGACGTGAAAAGGTGTATTGCACTCACGTTCACGGCTGGCATCAGCCTGGACGAATTTATCTTTTGAGCAAGCTTCCTGGAACTCAGGGGCCAACCAGGCCAGCTGAGGCAGGACTTTGTCAACTAGTCGGACTTCCGAGGCCAAGTTATTTTCATGCAGGTAAAGAGCTAGATGGCGACCGATAAATCCTATAAGATAGATAGAAATGCGTATGTTAGCTAGGATAATCTGGATATCGGGATGAAGAGAGAGAGGGGAAGAGGGGTGCATACCTAAACCACCAACGATCAGGACGGCCGGCTTTTTAGTCTGTTCGTCGGCCATTGTGGGAGGAGAATGATAGAGTAAGGAGGTTGAAACCAAGATAGGACCACTCTGTGGTACTTTTCTCTTCAAGTAGCCTCGATGCGATCTGTGGATTGCTGGCTGTGTTGACACCCCGCACCCGAGCGCGAACAAAATCGAAGAATGCGGGGAGGAAAAGGGGGAGGGGAAACAGAGAGAGGATCACCACGTAAGGGACAAAAAAGGAGCTCGATGGCAGTTAATCAGATGTAGTATTTTACCGACGGCAAGAAGTCACCGAAAAGTTTGAGGTAAAATCCACAGGGGGTGTTTGAAGGGGAGGGAAGAAAAGGAGGAAGCGGAAGGAAGAATGGGAAGAACGTAAGAAGAAGAGGAGAAGGAGGAGGAGGAGGAGGAGGAGCACAGGATGATCCTTTTCCGGGATTAAAAACCATTTATCAGAATCACCTGCTCTCGCTCAGATCAACTTCAGTCCTAGGCCCAGTTTCAGTCCACTTCTCATCCTCCTTCAGGAATCTCGTCATACACTCAACTCAAAGCTAGATAGATAAAGAAACGAGCTAATAATTCATAGTCATACCCTTAAGACTGTCATGGCTTGACCATGGCTGCACTACCCTGTCCACTATCGTCCCCGGCTGAGACAGATGCCCTCTTTTGACACTCCCCAGAAGTCGGAAATAGTAGTGATGATGCTAATTTGTTGCTGATGCCCAATCTCGCCTCTCCAACCCTCAAAGAGAAAACCTAGAACTCACCGAGGATGCCCAGATGGCGAATGCATTGCACTTACTGACTATAACTACTGGCCTCAGATAACCCCTCCAAACACACTATTCTTCCAATGGCAATACTCCAACGTTAGTACTTGGCCAAACTACTCATTAACTACAATCAAGCAAGCTCCATCCTTCCATTATTATCGTCGTCACCCTATGATTTCCCGGAGGCCGAGAAACACAATTACCGCGGATAACGCTGGACGACCGGAAGCACAAATGAAAGTCTCTCTCTCTTTCTCTTACGAACCCAAGCGTATGCCGAACGAACTCCGCTAGCGCTGCGTCTAGAAATTTCGCCAGCACGGTGGATGTTCCCGCTGGATTATTCCCTCGTACAGTAGTGGGAAATTTAGAGTCTTCGGGAGACCCGACCAGAGCCGACAAATTAATTCTTCATCTCCTCCCCTGCCAAGCGCGCGTTGTGGGACGTTTTCCGTTCTTCAGGGACACCGTCCGATCATAGTCCCGCCGCTTAAGTGGGTAGCAGCAGGCCTAACCGCCTAAGAGCCTTAGAGGCTAGGGGGGGTTGGTGGAGGAACAAAAGAGGGAGGGGGACTGCAGGAAGAATCGAAGACGCAAATCCCTTCGGAACATGAAAGAGTCCAGAATAAGCAGACGATCACTCGCCACCACAACAAGGCGAACGTATCATTCCTAAACCCCGAAAAGCGATCGCGACACGGCCAGACGGGAGCAGCGCGCAGGCAAGTGTGTGATCACCTACAGGGAATAATCAAATGATCTGCGTCTCATATTACGAGTCAGGGCTGGTGGGGAATCGTTCCAAGATCATTAATATTATTGTGCGTCGCGCAGTTAGTGTTTCTTTTCCTGCGCATAGCTTCGGCATCTGACTTCCAGACGCACTCTGGCGGATTGAGAAAGACCAATGCCGCGCTCACTGTCACCTCCGGACTCCAGAGAAGCATCTAAGCACTACATACTCTCCTTCCACCATCTATTGCCGGCGATTATTCCCGACAGTGACAAGCCCGATGGTGGAAAGGTAAACGCGGACGCTATTGACTTTGATTCCAAGTTTTACGGATAACAGGTGGTCTAGTCGGCGCGCGATTCCAAATGCGCTTCGTGCTTTCGTCTGCTAATGGATCTTTTTACTCGCCGGGGTTATCATGGCTCGCCCCATATCCTACCGAATCAAGACAGCCAAGCTCTACGGCAATACTGGCCTATTTCGTTTCTAGCATGGCATCTGTTACAACGCCGCCAATAATGATGCTGAAGATGATGCGCATGGTTCTACATGTCATTGCCGACAATGCAGTCGGTGTACACTGTCCACGTAAACCCCCCAATCCTTCAGAAAGGATCGGA